TTAGAGAGCTTTATCTGTGTAGACAGCCCAATTGCCCCCACCGCGAGAGTAGTGATCCATCGGGTACTCCTCCTGCCACTCTACGTTCCCGAGCGCCACCTCCGCTTCGTAGGGCGACAGCAGCGGGCGGTCAAAGGCGTAGCCCCAATCAATCGAAAGACGTGGACAGGCTACCTGGATGTAGCAGTCGACATCCTCTAGCCGCGCCATTTTCTGAGGGAAAATCTCGGACATGAGCAGCAGCGTCACCTGCTTGCCCTGGCGCTTGGCCAGCGCCATGATCCGATCCACCACACGCGGGTGACCCTGCCGGCCGAGCGTGCCCATCACGATTGCGAAGCTTTGCGCCGCCTTGGCCTTCTCCACCGCCTCCCGGCGCATCGTCCGCATCTCCGACGTCGCGTACGTTTCGCGCGTGAGCGTCTTCTTGTACGGGTCGTACTGCAGCGCGTTCAGGGTGGGGTGTGCAATCAAGAACGACTCGACGTGGAAGCGACCATCACCGACGTAGATGACGAGATCCACCTCCTCGGGATTCACCTTAGGGCTGGTACAGCCCAGCACCTCGCCCGTCGAGAGCGGGCGGTTTTGCGGGATGACCACGGGGTGTGTGAAGTGCTCCTCCTGCAGCACACGCAGCCCTGCGCGCATGGACGAGATGAACTGCACCGTGCCGATGCACCCCACCCGCGCCTCCGCCGGGACGAGGACCTTGACGGTGTCGATGAAGTGCTGCACATCAATATCGATCTCCACAAAGACGTACATCATATTGGCCAAGATGCAATCCTTAATGGAGATGAGGCAGCTGTGGCCGTAGTGAATGAGGAAGTCGCAGCCCAGCGCGGCGGCGGAAAAGTCGTCGACGCAGCACGCGCCGTAGGTGACGTCGCCTAAAATCACCATTTCAGCGCCGGTGGCTTCCTCGAGAATGTCGGCGATGGGGGCGGCGAAGAGCAGGAGGCCCTCGGGGAACTGCAGCGCCACGCGCCGTGCCCCCTTCTCCTTGATCCGCTTAATGCACTTCTCGATCTCGAAGCGGTAGTTGGTGGGAAGGCCCAATTTCCGCTGCGCCTCGCGCTGCTGCTCCTGGTCTCGCGCCGCTTCGTCTAGGTTTTGCATCGCAAAGGGAAAAACAACACACAGGTAGAGTTGTTGTGGTGACTGTGCTCGCACGCAACGTTCGAGTGTCCAACCATAGCAGGATATTGAAAAGAAGAACAAAGTGAACGACTGACGACGAGGAATTTGGCCAACAGTGTAGTGCCTGCGGTTTCGACGCGGCGGAGTCTGGAAACGACAGCAAGCAACGTGCATTCGCGCCACCGTACAACACGCGTTAACAAAACCAACGAGTGACACCCCAGCCGTGTAACACCAACAACAAAAGAAAACAAAAGCAGTCAGAGAGAATCGGCGCACAGCAGGGGGCATATGTTCTTTCTTGGGGAGTTTCGAGCATTCAAGGAAGCACCACAGACTGAAAGTCCACGCGGTGACTCGAAAGTCTTCGGGTAGAATCTGAAGTTCTTGTCCTTTTATCGCTGACACTCTAGAGACTGTACACGGAAATCAAACGAAAGAAACAAAAAGAGGAGGCGTTTGCCCCTCTCAGAAAAAAAAAACCCACGGACTCCGTCACACCTGCCTCCTCTTTAATGAGCCGGGGATGACTCCGTGCGGCTACGCTTGCGCGATCGCAGGCAGTGCAGGAGGTCCATCTCAGACCGCGGCGTTCCCGGGGAGCACAAATGCTGCACCAAGTAATCGAGCCGCAGAATGGGGCAGCGATGCCGCACTGCAACACGCCCGACGTAGTCCTCCAGCTCCTCCTCCGTGAACATCGCATCGTCTGCCAGCACCACTGTCGCCTCCGCCGCGCACGAGTCCACCGAGTCAGCGGACTTGCTCGCCTTGGCCGACGCCAGCACCTCTTCCGCCGTCACAGTCTGGAGCGACGTACACCCGCCGTTGCGCAACACACGCAGAAAGCTGTCAGTCCTCGCCGCGCTGGTGCAGCACACACGCACCTGCCACCCCGCGAACGGCAGTTCCGGTGCCAGCCGCTGCACTTTACACCCACGAACCAGCGAAACCACCGACGAACGACAGCTCAGCACCGCGGCGACCTCGACACCCCACTCAAAAGGATCCTCCTTGACGAGGTAGCCCGCCGCTGCGCAGGCGCTCAAGTACGCCGGCGTCAGGATCCAGTGCCCGGCTGCGAGACAGCACAGGAACTGCTCCGTCTTGGACGGCTTCGCCGTGATGAAGTGCGTGCACTCTTCTGGCTTGCTTGTTCGCCGACAGTGCGGGAAACGGGCCGCAAAGGCATCCCAATCAAAGTCGTTGCCTTTGAGAACGTCTTTGGTGATGAGCAAGACAGCTGAGGTGGCAAAGGAGCGTGCGTTGGAGTTGGCCGGGCCATCCACACCTTCGCGTGCCGGCGTCGCCTTCGTAGCAGCGGAGGAGGCTGTCGTGGCAGAGCCTAGCACAGCGTCTGCGTTGCTCGTCTGCGGATTGCTTTGCGAGCCACCTGGAGAGGGAGCACTTACGGCACCGTGGTCACTTACTCCCATTTGGTAAAATATCACTTGCGACTCGTCGGATATGTTGCCGCCGGGCAGGGAAAACGGCTGCTGTCGCGGCGGAAGGCGTTGGCGGTGCAGCGAGGCGCGCTGTAACACACTTTGCTGCGTTTGCTGCTGCCACTCGTGCGCGCTGACAAACGTGGGCGGCGAGTTCAGCGCCGACTCCGCATCCTGCGCACGCGAGGCGTCACTGATCTGCCCCGCCAGCGACAACGCGTTCGCAAACTGAATTCGGGCCGGCTCCCCCAGTAAAGAAAACGGCACGCCACCGCCCAGAACACTCGGTGGGAAGGCCTCCAACTCACCAAGCAGGTTCTCAAAAGTTGGGGAGTACTGCGTGCCTAGGAAGGTGTACGAAGTGCCAGTTTGAGCCGTGTGCTGCAGCGACAAGGTGGGGTGGTTATCTGATGGAGACGCACCGCCACCGTCGCCACCATGGTCGTCATCACTAGTATTATTGGTGCTGCTACCGGTACCACCGTGTTGACCAGACGATGACGACGTCGACGCCTGACGCTCCGCCTGCGAAGGTCGCGGCGGCTGGGACGCGTGTATCGCCTGCACAGCGGAGCGGAACGCTGCGGTGGCCGATGGCGACTCCCCGCCCGCCGCCTCATCATCTTCATCTTGCTGCACTACCGGCAGCGGCGTCGACGAAGACAGCGGGGAGCCGTGCAGCAGACCCGGCGCATCATTCGAGGTGGTAGGAGCGTTGGGTTGAGATAGGGCGGCGCCTTCTTCCTCTTCCCTCTCTTCCAACCCTTCCATAACCACCACGGCCTCTGCTCGCGGAGGGGAGCGGCCCGAGTAGTGAAGGGACGGAGGCGGTGGTGCGAACTGCGAGGAAGCGCACGCCGTTGCAATCCCCGTGGCGACAGACGGCGAAGGGCTCGGCTGCGAGGACGGACGCCCCCGCTGCGGAAGAGGCAGAGGTGCGGCGCCGGTCACTGCGGAGGAGCGCACCATGCCTAACGACTGCGAGTGGTGGCACAGCGACGACAACGGCCTCTCTGCCATTTTTGTTTTGCGTGCCGCAGCCAACACAAACGCCTCTGGATGGGGAAGGGTTAGCGTGAACAACTCAGGGTCCAGCCACTGGCCGTGTTGGATCGACCGGTATATCCAATCCACACCGACCAGCCGGCAGAGCGAGGAAGAGGCGAGGGAAGAAGCGGAAGGACGCCGTGTGTGTTGAAGGCAATGTTGTGCGAGCACCGCCACCTTCTGCGATTCAAGGAGCTGGTGACGAAGCGACACCAAATGGGTCGTGCTGCGTGGTAGAAACGACTCCCTCGAGGCGTCGGCTGGGAAGGCGGGCTTCCGCACTGCCCCGCCGAGTACCAACGCCTCCTGCACCTCACACGGCAGACCCGAGTGGCGGAGCGCCGCCACGAGTTCGTGCTTGTCGCTGGCCGACAGCCCAGTGAAGGTGACAACAGGATGGAACTCAAGGTGAACGCGGAAGCCCGCACACGAGAGCCGCCGCTGCTCCAGCTGGCTCTGGGACACCCACCGCCACGAGACAATCTGCAGGCCGGGCCGAGGGTACAGGCACTCCTCCACCGTCTCGCCAAGTACGAGCACGTGCGTTGTAAAGGGAGTCAGCTGCGACGCGATGCCCACTCCCATACCACAGAGCAGGTCGTGCTGCTCGGTCGTCAGGCAATGCGGAGGGCTGCAGTACGCCACAACGTCCGAAAACTCACCCTCCAGCGACCGCGGGGACTGGGACGGAGCGACGGAAGCACCAGTGGCCGCAATAGCGCTCAGCTGTGAGGGCAGAGTGGGCTGAACCGCACTCAAGGCAACGCCCACGCCGTGGTGCAAGCTCTCCTCCACGTCTAAAGAGTGCAGCGCAGAGGCTGCTTTATAGGTCTCCACAGTGTTAACAGCTGCGGCACTAGGGCGCGGCGTAGAGGGGGCGGATTGCACGGAGAGGGCCGTGCATCGCACCGAGCGAGACACCAGAACGTCACGCGTAATGAGGTTGCTCGAAGGATCCGCAGAGGTGGTCGCATCACGGCTCATGTCCCCTTTGAGCTCCACAAGCACGTCATGACGGATGTGACTGCTGCTCTCGCCAAGTCCGCTGGACCTTCTGAGCGAAGGGAGCTGTTGAGCATCTCGCTGCGACCTAGAAACAACACCGGGGGAGGTAGAAGCAAGGTCCTGCTTTGGCACTGACTCACCACCATAGCGCAGAGCAAACTCCTCCACGGAGAGAGTCCAGATGCCATGCCTCCGTGCAAACCGTATCTTGTCGTTGGCGGTGGCTGGCGAAGCGGCGGACGGCGACGTAAAGGCCAGCGCCGAAGTCGGTGCAATGAGCAGACTGCATTGACGCGTGAGAAGCAGGTTGTACTGTGCACCGCGCGCCGTGCACACCGCCTGCACGCGATCGCGCTCCAGGTGGTTCAGGCTCGTCGTGCACACCTCCCTACCGGACAGCTCGTGGCAGACGTCAAAGGCGTCCGTGGAGTCCAGCGAGCACGCGCCAGCGGTGACCCAGGTGGGGGACACACACGGCAATCGTCTTGAGCGGGCCACGGCGAGCTTGCGCGAGCCAACGGGGGCGACGCGGCCCACAATCAGCACCTGCGTACGAGCAGTGAGGTCGCCACACCAAGAGAGGTCGTTGCGGATAAGACGTTGCCGCACCTGGCTGAGTTCCTCGCCGTAGATGCCGGTGGTCGTCACCTCGGGGCGAGTGGCAGGGACATCCATTTCCTGCTTGTAGCTCTATTTTTGTTGTTTTTGTTGCTCTTTCGTTCGCAAAAGACCTGTTCAATGCAGCAAAGAACGGCGGATTATATAACTATTAACTGTGAGCTACACCGTGAACTTGGAATCAGGAACTTTTCTTTTTTTTTGAAGTCCGGAAACTATCTCTAGACAAGGAATTCGGTGAGCAAAACAGCAGGCGAAAAAAAAAGGAAACGAGAACGCTGAGTTGTGGGTAACACAGGGCGATGAAAAATGGCAGCACCAAGGGCACCACCACAACAGAAGAAAGAAGAGTTTATGTGTCGTGTGCTGCTCAGCAAACGGATGGTGCGGCGCACGTGCTTCTCTCTCGCTCCGTTACATTCACTCAGCCGTTTTTCTCTTCCCAGTCTAACTCTGGAAAAGAAGGAGGAAAAAGTTATCCAGGTGGGAAAAAAAAAGTGGTTTCTTGACTGCGCGAAAATACGCTTTATTGGTGTAAATCAAGGTGAAACACGTAAGGGAGGGAAATTGGAGGCAGAGAGGAAAAAACAAAGAAACGAGTGCTACGGGAAGTGGAGTACGGTGTTGCTTTCACAGATCCTAGAGAAGCACTACAGAAGTCTTCACGTCCTAATTCCGAAGTAAAATCCGTTGCGATAGAGGAGAAGCTCCTTCAGGCACAATTGTACGTCCCGTTCTCGTTTTCCCTCCGCCGCTGTCGTCAACTCACCACAGCATACTTGTCCGTCGGTTGACCAAAAGAACTGAAGAGGGCACACTCGAACGCCTTCATCGCCGAAGGAAAAGGAGACGCGCTTCTCCTTCACAATTATTTCTGTTGCTATTTAATTTAGATGGAAATAACAGCTGAAAAGAAAAAAAGGAGGGTCAAAGAAAGCACGCGAGGAATTCGTTGCCGCACACGCCTACACTCATACACGTATGAAGAGAGAAGGGAAAGAGGCATGCACCCCTCCGCAAAATGCCAATTTAGTGAAGCCAACTTGGATGCGTGGGTTCGTGTGCGAGCGAGCCATTGTTCGCGCTCATTGTTTTCTTCGTCCTCGAAGCAACTGCCTCAAGCTAAGATGCAGGACGGCGGTTCCACTACTCTAGTAGAAGAAGCCGAGGACCTTGCCACCGGTGTTGCGGGAGCGGGCCTCCTCGTGATCCATGATACCGAGGGAGGTCGTCAGCACCACGAAGCCGAACTGACGCGAGGGCAGGATGTTCTTCATCCACTTCTCGTACTCGGTGGTGGCGCAGTCGAAGCGCGGGCAGATGGCACCGCACTTGTTCAGGCGACCGTTCAGGTTCACGACGATCTTGCCAGCGCGGTGGTCGTCGATGATCTCGAACTCACCGATGTAGCCGTGCTTCTGCATGACCTGCAGGAACTTCACGACCACCTTGGAGGAGGGGCGGATCAGCACCTGGCGCTTGCCACGGCGCTCAGCGCTCGCAATAGTGCGGAGCGCGTTCGCGAGAACGCTCATCATCGTCATCTTTGCTTGCGAGAGACTGCTTAAAGAAAGAGATAGAGAAAAAGATAACAGAACAATGGAGGAGAAAGACGAAAGTTGTGAGCATACACGTAAAGGCAAGCGTGCCAACAACAAAAAGAAAACAAAGAAGACGCATTCACGCATTGTATGTCATGCAGTAGTATGAGAGGCGTTTCCGCCCGCTCAGAGCGGTAGTAAAGGGAACTCCATGGCTGAGTGGGAGCGTACGTTTTGCTGGTCTCTACAGCCTGAAAGCATCACAAACATAGTGACTCGATTTTGGGTTAGAGAATATCGTGTTACGCCACAGGGGGGAAAAGAGAAGGAAAAGGAAAAGTTGCTGCCGGTACCCGTGCCTGTGCACTCCAGCAAAAACCAACGAAATTCTGATAAAATGCAGCAACCGTTTTTCCTGAACCGGGATTGCGGAGAAAATGCAAAACGCAGAGAGTGCGTTCAGTAAAAGCGCTCTGTTACGGCCAGACGCATAAAGCGACTATTCTGAGCCTTCGCGGGGAGCGCCGGCGCCGTGCACCGCAGCACCGTTTCTGCCGTGCGTAGCGACACCGTGGCGGCATCTCCTTTGGCTACTCCAGTAGAAAGAATCGCAGCGGGCGGCGGTGAAGGGGCAGGTGCCTTGACCGACTCCACCGTTCGTTCTTTCCGTGCGATAGCCGGGGGTGGAGAAGAGGAACGGGGAGGCGACGGCGGCGGTGCACCGGCGCAGGGCGTTGCTTCCTGACTTTCGAATGCCGCCAAGCGCGGCAACTGTGTGACCAGTGGCTGCGACGGTGTTGGCGGTGCTGCACAGGTCTGCGCCTTTTGCGCAGAAGCTGGCACCTCGTTAATACCTTCAAGAGCAGGTGTTACTGTTTCGGCAGCAGCGAGGGAAGCGCTGCTTCGACTCAGGGAAGCCGTCAACGGTGCGAGTGCTTTTGGCGCTGGTGGCGACAGGGGCGCTGACACCGCTTTGGGAGCATGCGCGGGAGTTGTCGTTAGCGCAGACGGCAAAGGCGATGCGACAGGCGGTTTTGCGTCGTTGAAAAAAGCTCTTGGTTCACTTCTACAACGCGTTGGAACTCGGCAGAGACTCTGCCGTGTCAGGGATGGGGAGGGCGAGCTCGCCGACACTTCCTTCTCCTCGGTAGTGACGGCGTGCTCAAGGATGGCAGGAGGAACTGGCGGTGGCGGTGATGCTGGCGCCGGCGCCGTAGAGACATTCACTGCCGCAGAGCGCAACACTGTGGAACGATGCGGTTCAATGACCAACTCCTTTTTCTCGGCAACTGATGTCATCACAGATGGATCCGGTTGTTGCTGCACACAGGGATTGCTCTCCGCGGACAACGCTCTCCATTTGGATGACGGCACACGGGACAGCACAGCAGAGCGGGCGCTCCTCGTTGCCAGCTCCGGTCGTTGCTGCTGCGTTGCCGAGTACGCAACGGGCGGCAGCGACGACGTCGGCGGTGGCGCGCCAAATTCCACCGATATACACGGGGCGTCGTCGACGGATGCAATGGAAGAGACCGTTGACAGCACCGCCTCGGTGCGCTGTTCCCCCTCCACGTGTTGCGTTGCGGTTTGATCGGCCATCTCCACCATTTCCACAGCACTACTTTCGCCACCGCAAGGAGAGGCGGAGGGCACCGCTTCGGCTTGCGCAGTCGGCACCTCCTCTTGTTCTTGTGCGATGTGGATGGCAACGTCGTCGGCGTGCGGCGGCAACTGCGCTTCCGGTGGCGCATCCTGCTGGGTCGCGTCGAAAAACGGTGCTGGTGGGACCCCTCGCAGCTCGGAGAAGCTCGATGCTGGGGAGAGGCACTGCTTGGTTGGCCGTATGCCGGCCGAGAAGAAAGTCGGGACAAACTGTTTCTGGTAGGCCGCGAGTCGAATGCGAGCCAGCGGCCGGGTGGAGTTAGTTGGGTGCACCTCGTCCATGCGTGTGTACGCGGTGCTGCTGCTGCTGCTGCTGCTGCTGGTCGTCATGATGGTGGCAGCGCTGTTACCGTTGCTGTTGTCGATGGCGTTGCCGTGCTCTGCTGTATTCGACGCAAGGTTCTGTTGAGAAAAAGTGTCTGCTCGTGGCGCCGCCCCCACACACGCCTTTAATGTTTCGTCCTCCGGGCAGCTCTCCTCAACGGAGAGCCGAGAACTCGATGAAGGCGCAGACGGGGCTGAGACGACGGCTGCAGAAGGCTGCACAACAACCGTGGACTGGTCCGACGCAGAGGTGCCGTCTGTGGGGGATTCAATGCCGGGCGGCGGCTTCACCACAATTGTTGTCGCCGTGCCAGTTGAGGTAGATCTGGTGTATTCGATGACGGAAGGATGCGGCGGCAAAGGATACATGTGTCTCGCACTACGCAGACCAGTTGCTTGCGTAGGTGCACCCGCCTTCCGTAGACGACGCCACGCACGCGCGTGTTGGAAGCCCCACCGAGCCGGATCAAGCGCCTCCCACACGTGCTCGATGTCTTCCTCTGTGACCGCATTGCATCGCGACGTATGGAAGTATAACACCTTCTTTTTAGGCATTTGGAAGTATGGTACCTCTTCACCCTCGCAGAGGAAAGATGGGTAAAAAACAAAAAAAAAAGCAGACAAATGGAATAGACATCAGAAAAGGTAGGGAGAAAAGGGCTTTTTCCCGGTGGCTGTGAGAAGAGACGTTGTTGAGCTGCAATGAAGTCCGTTCAAGATGCCTCAGTCGTGGATACGTTCTACTGCGGTCGCCCAACTCCTTTCAAGCAGCACATGAATTGCGCAGCTGTGTTAAGAAGCACATAGAATCGCAGACGCAACGAGCAGACGATTTCACAGGCACCGGTTAGCCGCTCTGAATCAATAGCCGCTGTTCTCTTTTCATGGAAAGAGAAACCCGAACTTAGCGGTGTAAGGCCGCAAAAAAAAAAAATAGAGGGATTTCAAAACATGTATATCAAAAAGCGATGACAGCGACTGCCACAACACGCGCCGTCCTCTTCGTTTTCACGTATTCTCGTGACTTCTCGAGCGAGCTCACGCGCTGCCCAGAAACACTAGTATGGCGTGATCTTCAGGTGCGAAGCTGGAGAACACATAATGGTTGCGTTGAAATTGCTTGCCGTAGCCAGGAGAGAGACACGCGTGTTTTGTGATGCGTGCGCCGTCTGCCATATGCGCAGAGGAAAGTCCGTCGGTTGAGCCCAAACCGTTCGATTGGAGAGGGCATGACTCGCCAGCCTGTGAGGACGATTGTCGAGTGTCTTCGCGTTGCGTAGCATTCTGACTTTGGTTTCGCGAAAGGAACGTCCGCTGACGAGGTAGCGGGGACTTTTCCTCTGAAACTGCCGCAGAAGAGCGTACTGCCTCTGAAGCTGCAACTGTTGGTGAAAGGGAAAGGTTGTTTGTCTCCACCTCTTGTTTCGCGAATAGCTGCAAGTACACCCGCCCGCGCACCGCGTACTCGCTCACTAGCTGATGGAACTGTGTCGTCACAAGCTGAAGCGAGACAATGTTGATTGCACATCGCCCAGCAATGGGGATTAAATACGGCTTCAGCAGTGTAGTGATACGGTTTTCAAGCGTTGTGGGCGGAGAAACCGCCTTCGTTTCCTCTCTCTCGCTATGTCGGTGGTTAGCGGCACGGCGAAGCTCATCGCAGTCCTGTATGCAGTGAATGCGCCCGCCAACAAGGCGGACATAAACAATTCCATCCGCTTCCATATCAAAGAGCTTAATCACGTGCGATGCGTTGCGCTCGCCGCTGGCCGCGGGGGTTTCAACAAAGACGTGCTCTGCCAACGCGTGTTGAGAAAAGGTCAGGACACGACTCTCATACGGCATCCGGTATCGATCGGAGCCGAGATGCATCTTCACCAAGGGCGGCGGCACCATGTACGACAACGCCATTCCCAGACTGGCACAGTCACGTGCGTTGTCGCCAGTGATAAGGATCTGATTTCCGCTCAAGAGGGCACGCAACAGAAAATGAACGACTTGTTGCGACTCCACAGTGACATCATCTGCAACCATGTCGGACATGTACTCCAGCAGCCAAACGGGGAGCGGCTTCACAACAATCTCTGTATCCGCTAGGACAAACTGCTTGGCAAAGCGCGGAAGTACAACGTCATCTTCTGGCAAATCCGCAAGATCGACATCCACGCGGTCGATACTAGACTGCGCCAACAACAGATGTTCCTCGAGGAATTTTTCGGCTTCTCGGTGTGCGGTGCTTTCCTCACTACTGCGCAGAGGGATTCGCTGCGAAAAGACTCGGGGGAGAATTACTTCAAAGCAACAGTGGAAATCCTCAAATACGGCGGATGAAACGGGCGAAGTGGCATCATCATACGTTACCTTGCCGAAGCAAAAGTCCGTCAAGAGTTGAGTGAGTGTGCGGAGTGGTTTGCGGCGCGACTCCTCACGCAGTTGTTCCAAATGTTTTAATGTGTCGTACTCGTTTTGGTAGCGTACGGTGGCGCGATGCGTCCATCGCTTCAGCAGCACTTCAACAAAAGAGCTTAACAACCCCCAGCGTGCTACTAACTCGTGATACGAAGGATGGAGAAAAATCAGGCAGAAGCGACGCTTTTCTCCACGTGCGACGATGTCGGGGATGCTAAAGAGAAAGCTGCCTACACACGGACAGCCACTGTCTTGGTAAAGCAGGCGCTCCTCGCGGCTTTCGTTAGATGTCAGCACACGAGCTGCAACCGAGTTGAGGTATTCTTTGCACTCGTGGTGCAGAAGACCGCTAGCCACAGCTTTTCCTAGCAAAGCTCTTCCCTCCACGTAGCACAGGAATTGATGCACAGTTGGGTCATTCTTTGCCGCTCTGATGTAGTCGAAATACTCAAAGGCGTATGTTACTTTGGGTCCATCGAGAGCGTCAAACTCCCCGATAAACGCACCAGGTGTTTCTAGCATTGCTAGAAAAGGAAATAGGAAAAGACTCCCTTTAGCGGAAAAAAAAAGCAGTGAAAAAAAAAAGGGAGAGAATCTGCGTCTTCGAAGAGGCAGAACGCAATGCAATGAGCACGGAAAGTCTAATTGATAAACAAAAGTGTGACGACAAAAATCGTTGCACGGCGGCGTCACGAAAAGCACTTCCAGTAATAAGAAAGCCGTTTCTTCTTGATTGCTCGATTATTTCCATCTAGCATGCCGGAAAGTACATTGGAGATTATATCCAATGAACACAGCTGGTCAACTTACAGATGACAGCTCAACTCTAACAGGGCCTTCAGTCAGAAAAAACAAGGCTGTTCAATAAACCGCTGTTTATTGTGAAGAACGAAAAGAAGAAAACAAAAGAAGAAGGAGCAGTAGAGAGAATTCTGTTTGAGAGCACATTGTTTTGTTTTGTTAGAGTGTAACATGTTCAAAGCGTGGAGCGGCTGTTTTATCTCAGCACTTACCTTCTGCTAGCGCTTGTTCTTTTCATTTTGCTGCACATACCTTCACAAAACGTATTGCAAAAGAAAGTGCGCAGCCGAAACATTCGACCTACACCCTAGTTGAGTTTTACCTTTTTCGACCCGAAGAGTTTCATTGCTATTTTGAAACGCAAGCTTATAGTAGATATGTAAATACACGTTAGTGTTATCATCCACAGTAAATACCTTCTCCTTAATCTCACTAAAATGACATATTCGATGACCACACCAGTCCAAAACGGAAGCGATCAAACAAGCTCTTACGTCCGTTACGACACACAACGTTACCGTCCCTGTCCACCCCGAGAGGAATAGAAATGTTTACCTCGAATCGACCACTAGGAGCTACACCAAATAGGGGAATTCGAGTAATAACAATTCCAGCACCAACAGAACACGCGCAGTCGCGCAGCCAACGGTACCCATCCCTCATCGACTCCATGGAGTCAATCATGCGCAAGTGTCCGGCATTGGCAAACAGGTGCATTGCGGCGATACCGTTATCCGGGAAAAACAGAAAAGGGAAATTCAGGGACGCGGACGTTGCCCACAGAGCATTTCCGCCCGTGGCCGCGAAACGGCTGACCGGCGAGCCTGAGTCCAACGTCGACGGTCCCACAGATTTAAATCCACGAACGTGGCAGTTTGACAAAAAGAGGCGGTCGTTCAAAGGGGTACGACCACCAAAAAACGAATAAACACCAGCTAGCTTACAACTCAACTGCAAACTGAAGAAGGGCCCGAGTGGAACATACTTTGTTGCTTGAAGCTCATTTTTAATAAATGAAAATTCACCGCCAATGAGACCGCCAGCGAACTCGCTGGACAGGCTAACCTGACTTCCGTAAATTGGAAGGGGATACATATTGTACAGGAAAGGGTTTGCGTGATGTGCCACGTCGGTCACTGTGAATTGGTGGCGAATGTAACCTTTATCTGTTGCCGTGAAGTCCGGCAGGTCTCCCGCAGGAATGTCCTTCATGTGTTTAGAAAGCAAGGTTCGTCGCTGAAAGCCAATGGAGAGCTCGGACGCCACCTTGCCCTTCTGGTTGGTGGTTGTCGCCTTCATTTCCTCGATACGCTCTGCATTCGCAAGGTGATACGTCTTGCTTTCCGTTCGCCGCCCGATGTAGTACTCAGCATTTTGACCGATAAACGGCACATTGGAAAGAAACGAAAAAGAGATTGAATGCACGCGCGACGCCGGGGGAATATAATTACCTTTAATAGAGTACCGTCCGCCAAGGATGTTTTCCAGTGCTACCGTAATCTCCGGAATGGAGGTGTCCGTCGTAAAAACGCCAATACTTTTTTTAGGCTTTTCCTCCACCACTTCGATATGTACACAGACGTCATTTTCCATCCCGTCCTTTGTTGGCTCAAAATTGTATTGGACGCTTCGAAAAATGCCCATTGATATCCAACGGCTACGAACATCAATAATTGTCTGAACCGCTTCTTGCATGGTGCCACATCGTTTTATCGTTTCCAGATCCTTCGCGACCACCAGAGGGTGCGTGTTGCTGGCACCGGAAAGGCGGACATGCGCACGAATGGGAACTTTGAGCGTTGCCTCAACCTCTTCTTTGGTAATATTTACCGGCTGTGCTGGTACCTCTGCCATTTTGTCAACGACTTTTGTGCGAAAAAAGGGTGCTTTGCGTAGAGTTTCATTTGCATGACATTGGGAAACGCCAAAATAAATAAGAATAGCGTTAGTTTTACAATATTGAGGACGGAAAGGAAGAGAGAATGGCCACAACGTACCAGAGCAACGTGAATCTAAATGATCGAGAAAAAACATACAACTATCAACTGAATTTCTCAAAGCATTTATGAAAATAATTTCCATCGAAACATTATTTGATCAGTTTCCCTTTTTTATATAGACGGTACAACTCTATTCCGCTATGAACAAATACGGCGTCTAGTCTATATTTTGCATGCAATCCGGAAAAAACATGAGTTTTTGTAACTTGAGCTGGCACCCCAGAAACAAAAAATGGTATTGTCAAAGCAACAAATGGCAAGCGTTGCACTCTGCGGACAAATCGTTGAATAACAATTGCGTTCAGGAATTCCCAGAACAAAAGGTTCACAAGACACAACTACAGAGCAGATGCAGTAACATCGATAAAACACAGCGAGGAGAGAAAAAAAAAAGAAAAATAGTTGTAACGCATAAATTCATGCAAGCCATTGATGCTAGCTGAGGAGTCCACAAACGACCAAAAGTAACTAACTAAGCATCAACAACAGAAGAGAACTACGATAACTTCTCCTCTTTACTAAATTCTCAATGCGCTCAATTTGCGTACGCACGACCGTGCTCAAAGTTCGGAGGATTCCATTCCTGAATAACGAGATTGGGAAAGACTCCAGGTTTCAAAATGGATGATCCAAGAAGCATGTGCAGGCATTCCTGGAAACCTTGTGTAATTGCAGGATAGGCGGTGTGCAAGTTCCGCAAGTTGTACGCAGACTCTCGGTTGTGAATGGCTAGAGAAGCGAGTTCGATAATACTGCTCGCGTGCGGGCCAACAGCTCTCACGCCGAGCACTTGCATCTTCCTGTCGTTTGTCACCACGAGCTTGATAAAGCCGCGAGTGTTGCCCATCGCCAAAGCTCGGCCAACGTACTCATAGCTGTACCGCGCCATTTTGTAGCCGATCTTCGCCTTTTTGCATTGCTGCTCGTTGAGGCCTACCGCAGCTACCTCTTGATCCAAAAACATGATCGTAGACAGATTGTCGAGTTTCAGCTTCAGCTGATCTTCAGGAAGCGGTGTGTACATGTGCTCAATGCATGCACGGCCTTCGAGTTCAGCCACATTCACAAGAGCTACTCTTGTGCAAGCGTCGCCGCAGGCGTAGATGTGCCTGAAAGGCGTAATTCGGAGGAAATCGTCGCGCTCGACGCGATTGTGATCCACTTTCACGCCAAGTCCCTCTAGATTCAACTTGCTCATTTTTGGTACGCGTCCAATCGAGACGAGGGCGCTGTCTGTAACGTGGTCGTGCAGGGAATTGTCCCGCAGGTCTCTCAGAGTGTAGCAGAATTTTCCGTCCTTAACGCTGTTGGCTTCCAGTGCTGAGTGGTGATGGAAACACACTCCTTTTTGTTCGAGAAGTGTCTGAACGAACAAGGAAATATCTTCGTCCTCCATCGGCAGAATACGGCTGCTCTTTTCGATAATGTTGACTTGCGTTTCGCCAAAGTTGGCAAAAATGGATGCGAACTCGCAGCCGATGACACCGGCGCCAATGATGACAATGCTCTTGGGCAGCGGCTGGTACATGATGTCGTCAGACGTGAAGACGACCTTCCCATCTGCGATTGCGGTCGGATGCGGTCGTGGCTTCGCCCCAGTTGCGATGACAAAGTAATCTGCCTCAACTAGTTCTTTTGACCCGTCCTTTTTGGCAACGGCGACCAAGTTAGGAGTCTTGAAAGAGCCAGAACCGTTAATGAGCTCAATCTCAGAGTTCTTCATCAACTCCAGCACCTGTGCCTCACGTGTCTCCGCTGCATGGTCGATAGCTTTTATGAGGTTCTCGTGCTTAATGGGAGGAAGCTCATGAATAATTTTCATAAAGCGCTGAGAGGTGTTTCCGCTCGTATAGCGTGCAAATTTGGCCATTTCCCAGAGTGTCTTTGATTGCAAAGAACCGTTCCAGAAATCTGCCCCGCCGATTCGGGCTTCTTCAATGATACAAGCCTTTTTGCCAACCTCATACGCGCGGATGGCGGCGGCAATTCCGGCGGGGCCACCGCCGAGTACACACACGTCAAACTTCTTGGACCGCGACAAGAACGTGCGCCTCATCATTTTCACGTTCTTGTTTTTGTAAGGTGTCGATTCCCGATATGTTTGTGTTCCTTGTGACGTTGCCGTGGCCCACCGAAACAGGAAACGAGAAAATGCAAGAAGGTAACAAGGGGACGATAATGGGGAAGCGAAGAAAATTATGTTTTGCGGTTGTTGCCTGCCGTTTCAGCACAGCAAACATATTTTTTAGAAAGTAGCTCTACTATTCAAACTGTTTCATTTCTCCTGTTTTCTTTCAGCTTTCTCAGTACCACCGAATGCGGTTAAATCGTGGAAATGTGTCTTTTCCCATAGCCTGATAACAATGAACCGGGAAAAAAAAACTCGTCATGGAATATGCGGATTATACTGTTGATGTATTCTCACAGGTGAGTACTGTGCTGAAACGAACAATTGCAGGCCATTTATCGTTTTTGTCGTTCCTTTTCTTTTTAACAATCTGTAAAGAAACCGTTCGCCGTTTTTCTGTGTATGCCTTCTTGTGGTTTGCCTGAGTGTAGTTCTGCTCGCCTTGTGAATCTTGGTGTTCCCCGAGCCGCGATTGCCTTTGAGAGAAAAGCCTACGTGTGTGTGTGATGTGCTGGGGGGGGGGGGGCCGGGGGCAGTTTTTCCGCCAGGGGCGGCGCGGGGAAAACGAAAAAGTGACAAGAGCGGGGTTCGAACCCGCGCCTACGAATAGAAGAGAACTTGAGTCTCCCGCCTTAGACCACTCGGCCATCTTGCCTTGTTAGCTTCCTGACAAATTCCATGAGTCGGGAGAAAGAAGCGGAATTGCGGAAAAGTCGTCACCAGCAGGATTCGAACCTGCGCGCGAGATCGCAGTTGATTTCGAGTCAACCCCCGTAACCACTTGGGTATGGTGACTGCGATGGGTCCGTGACGAAAGACAGGGGTGAAACCGATGAGAGAGGTACGGACTATATATGGGTATTGCCCTGTTACGTAAAGGAAATGACGTGTTGGGGTGGCATTCTGAATAGGGTGCCATCTCTTTTTTGAGGGGGTTGGGCCCGCCATGGAGGACGGTTACTTCAATACAGAATTGTTCATTTTGTTTCTCTTCGCTGCGGTGCTCGCCAGGGCCTCTTTGCGGGGTGGGGGGGGGCCTGAGGGCTCGTCCCGGCCGCCGGGCCCATGACAGGGCGGGGCAACCCAACGCGTTTCGACGCGGCGCGCAGCCACCACAACCGTCGCCGCCGCCGGGCCCCGCCCCCTCACCACCACATTTTCGCCTGCGTTTTCCTTCCGTTGTTGCAAAATAGTGTGGCCGTTGAGAAGAGCAGAAGTAAAGCGAAAAGAAGGGCAGTGAACGGCAACGTTCTGCTTTTCAAAGCTGGACTGGCGAATGGAGGGCGGAGCTGCGCTGCGCGCGTGCCACATTGCTTCTTCGCGCACTGCCATCAACGTGCTCGTTCGCTTGAAACGTGCAACTTGTTTGGTTCAATTTTTTTTTGTTGTTCCACCTTGAGGGAGATCATCTACAATGCAAGGTAATAAGAAAAGAATCTAAGGTGCTCCCACACCGCATCCACAGCGGTGCCAGCCGGCAGCGGCGGGGCGCCGCTGCTCTCTCTCTGCCAACCCCAACAACAAACCCGAGTAAATGTACACGAACGCCCCCGCGAAGCGATGCAGACAAAAGGCGGCTGCTGATTCCCCCAAAATGCAATTATGTTACGCGCACAATCGTTGAAGCAGCAATCACGCATCAACTGGAACCATTGTTTGCTGAAAACTTCAGCGCGTGGTAGGGCTTCTCGTCCAATGCAAACGTGGGGTAATGTCTTTGGAGGCCAGTATTTGGTGCTGAGCGGCCACTTTCTGCAGGTGCCGCAGTTCCTTCTCCACCAGCTCCGTTAACGCATCCGCCTCTTTCGTCTTTTCTTGTAGAATGAGAAGCACCTTCTTGTACTCCGCCTCGGCACGGCAGTTCGCGCTCTGCACCGCCGTCACCAGCTCCTGCTGCCCACCGCGTATGTCCGCGACGTCCGCGCGCAGGGAGTTCACACGGTCTTTAAAGCGCACAAAATTGCGCTTGGCCCACTGATTTGTGGCCTCCATGCTTGTCTGCGCCACGCGCTGCACATGCTCCTCTAACTGAGCGAGACGCTCCTCGAAATGCTGGGTAGTGGCCGCGTCGGAACTACCCAAGCGCGTCTCCAGCTCCGCCAACTGCTGTCGTACGGCGGCCCACCGCTCTTCCTGCTGGGCGGCGCTGGCCGCTACGCGCGCCTCGATGCGCTGCGCTACGTGCTGGCTTGCCTGTGCGTTCACGGTGGCCTGCACCTCCTCCAACTGCCGCTGCAGCTGGCTCGTCAGCTGCTCCTGTCGCTTGAGGCGCGCCCGCAGCTCTTCGTTTTGCTGGCGCAGCTCCGCCTCCTTCTCCTCTTGGATGTTCTGCGACAGCTTCACCAGGCGTGTTAAGTTCAGCACCTTCTCGTCCGTGGCGCGCACGGCGTGTGTGAGGGCCTCGACGCGGTCGCGGTAGTCCTGCGCGGCGAGGGTGCCGCTCACGAGGCGGTCCAACTCCTGCCCTAGCGCACTCGTGATTGGCACGGCGCCGCCTTGATCGGTAGCGGCGACCCGGCTGTGCGGGCCGGAGTGCTGGCTCGCGTACATGCCAGCGTGGTCCCTAACGCGGAGTGGCGACTAATGGGAAACGAAAAAAGGGAGGTTAGGCGATGCCAGAGCTACCGGGTAGCGTGACGATATTTCGATTTCGAAGCAGCTGTTCGTGTGGGGAAATAAAAAAGAAGAGCGAAGTACGCCACTCGGCGTCGCTGCCTGTCTGGAGGTCCACTGAAGCTGAAGAGAGGGACGGGAGGAGGAGGAGGGGAGGCGCATGGCGGAAATTCCGATGGGTTTCCTTAGAATTGAAAGGCGAAGCTCGAAATACAGACATCCGTTTCGCAGCATCAACAGCAGACTTGGTAACATAACATATAGTGTGTTACTCCGGTGACCGCAGCGCAAGCAAACCCTTCATTTCATGCACGCTTCTTTTTTGTTTTATGCAGGTGCTGGAGAAGCTTCCAGTTGTAGGGAGAGCACCGTGTTTGTATTTTACCTGCTGAGGATGCGCTACACATGTAGAGCACCAGAAAACGTCCTTTACATCTTAAAGGTAAGAAAACCCTTCCCACCCCCAAAATAATAAGCAGTAGCTAAGACACAATCTTCACGTCGCCGTCGCTTTGATCAGCCTTTAAGCGCACCGTGAGCAGTCTCTTCTGCGCATCCCACACCGCATCCGCCGCCGTGCGCTGCACCCGCCGCGGCAACGCAGCAGCCAGGTAGTACACCCCCGCTACCGACACCCGCAACTCGTATGGGTCCACCTCCGTCGCAATCGCCGACACCGCCGTCACCTTCGGCAGCTCCACCCGCACCGTCACTCCGTCGCTCGCCGCACTGGACGCGTCGCGGGTAAAGTCCACGCCAAGGTACACGTCCTCCGCGGAGAGGTTATGCTGGTACAGCACCGTGTACACAGGCTCCTCGTAGCTGCCGGCGTCAGCCGTGGAGGGACGCCACAGCGCTCCCCCGCCCTCCTCTTGTCCGCGGGATCCCTGCAGCTGCTTCGCGTGGTGTGCCGCTACCGCACGCGCTGCCGCGGCCAGTGGAGCCGGGCCGTCTCGCTGCTGCCGTGCGCAACGTTCTTGTAGCTCAGATTGAGTCCATATCTCATCGCCGTGCGGCTCGGCGGGCTTCGCTAGCTGCCGCCTGCGCTCCGCCGCTTTACCGTGCGACGGCGCCGGCAGCCTCAGCTGGTGGTCCACGGCAGTTGGCGGGAGCGCGATGCCGGCTGGGTTTGGCTTGCCCGCTGCGGTGGTCGCGGTGGTGGCTACCAGCGTGCTGTGCGACGTTGCGCCGGATGTGCCAGCCTGTGGTGCAACGTTGTGCTCCTGGAGGCTAAAGCCCGTTGACTGGCCAGCTGGTCGCTCGAAGGCTCGGTTTTTGTCCAGCATCGAGGCGAGGCTCTCAAGATCCTCAGAATTGAACGCCATTTTCCCCTTTTCTTCCTTCCCTTCAGTGATGTAGTAGCAGTGACAGAGTTCTGTCGTGTGAAGGGAGAGAGAGAAGTAAGAGGATGGAGGGAGAGCGAACAAAAAAAAAACAACGCGGAGAGGACAAAAGCAGTGCTTTTCCGCGTGATGCAGCCGAAACAAAGGGGGCACTACAAACCCAAAGACGTTCGCAACCACGCACTCACGGTAACGGCATTTTCTTTGCTTCTCTTTGCTTTTCTTGCTTTCTCTGTTTTGACGGAATACCGTGAGCGCAGTTGAGAAGAGATCAACGAGAACAACAAAAGGATGTGGTGGGAATTGCAACGCTGGATCGTTATAAAAATACACGCCGCCGTTGCCCAAGCCACCCCGAAAAAAGATGTTCTACAGCCTGCTCTGTCCTAAGAGCGAACCGCTGGCCACACTCTCCTTGCGCCACTGATCGATCAACTCGCTCATCTTCGCCGTGGCCACAAGCCGCATCAGGTACTGCTTCGCCTGCAGCGCGCTCAGCACGTAGGAGCAGAGGTAGCCGTCCTTGATGTAAATAACATTCAACGCCTTGTGATCCAGAAGCGACAGCGGCCACAGCTTGCGCTGCGTGGCATCCATGCTCCACCACAGTCGCACCACTAGCTGACTCGTTCGGTCAACGCAGCGGAGAGGAATACAGTCCCGCCGGCGCGGCTCGGTGCTGTAGAGGCGACGCATCATACCACGGTAGGCCTCCCGCACGTGCGGCTCCTGATTCTCCGGGTCCTCCAGCGCACGGAACGTGTTGTAGAACTCCATAAACTGTAGCAGGTGCTCCGGCCAGCGGAGGACGACCTCCTCGTCGCCCGGCTCATCTGCACGTTCAAAGTGGATGCGCATGCTGTGGATCGAGTGCACCTGCTGCGTGTGCTCCAGCATCTCCCGAATCATCGGCTCTATCTTACTCACGTACTGCTGCAGCTCTGGAATGCCCATGCCGATGTTGCTGAAGACGTAGTCGCGCAGATACTGCTGCGGGCGAAAGGAAGGAATGCGCCATCGGGACGTGTACTTCGCATTGCCTGTTGTCGGCACCACGCTCATCTTCGTTGTTCCTTTTGTATTGCCGCTGCTGCCGACGCTCTTGTTGCCGCTATCGCAGGCAGGCGCGCCTCCTTCCCCTCCGCCTCCGTCTTTGCTACGTGTGGTAACGGCCGCAGACGAGTTGTTCGGCGGGGAAGGTGGTGTGACGGGCGTCTTGGCGGCGTCGACCGCACCACCCGGGGTAGATTTTGCCGCTGCGAGGGTCGTCGAGGATTCGTTCTGTTTGCTTGGACTGATCGGCCGCTGTGGTGGTGGCGGTGTGGAGCCCGGACGTGCCCTGGGGCCGGCGCGGCTCGGCACCATGCCCCCGTGAAGCACCTCCTTGTCCACGTCCTCGTCTACCGGTGGGGGCGGCAGCGACGGGGCGAGGAACAGCACCCCGCTGGGCAGACGCACCTGCTGCGTCGGGATCACAATGCCGTACCCGCAGTGCGGCTTCAAGGAGTTGATTGGGTTCGGCGCACGGAGGTAATTCACGGCGCACGCATCCATCCCCGCAGGCGCGTCGAGTATTTTTTCTATGAATGCCCGCGCGCCCGGCGACTCAAATGTGACGGCTAACGTCCCCTCCTCGACCGCCCGACAGGTCGCGATGACGGCACCGAGGCTGTGTCCCGTGTAGGTCACGAACCACTCTTCACCCCGCCCGCCATCCATGCTTGCCAGCGTGTGCCGCACCGCCTTCGAGAACTGCTCGGCGAGGAAGAACTGAATGGTCGGCTGCTCGAAGTAGATCCAGACCCCGGCGCGCAGGCTCAAGACCTCCGAGGTGCCACGCTGGGCGATGATGCAGTGGTGAGAGCGGCGGTGGATGTACGCAACGGCGAAGTAGCCCTCGCAATCCAAGTGCAACGCGGGGCACTGCAAAAGCACCTCCCACCCGTCCGGCAGGGCAACCTGGATGCCAGTTTCCGGGTCTCCAGCGCCGTACACGTGCGCAGCCAAGGTGGCGTAGGTGCCATGGGAGGTGAGGCGGAGGGACGCGGCGTCGTGCGGCTCTAATTTCGGACGACTGGCGACGACGTCGAGCGACAGCGACTGCTCCGCTGCGCCGTGTGTGCGCCTGGAGGCAAAGATACCCATGTGCGCAGCGGCAATAGCACTAAAGATAGCAAGAGAAAGAGAGAAAAAACGGTTGTAGTGTGCTATGTGTGCTTACCACCAACAACAATAGAAAGAAAAGAAAAAAGTGTTGAAGAATTGCTGCCTATATGAGTGAGCCGGTGAGCGTGTGGAACTGTGTGCGGGTGTGTCACAAAGAGCAGCTGCGGAGAACACAACACGGTCTGCCATGCTGAACACAGGAAAAAAGATTTTGTAAAGGGCAAGGCGGGAGCAAGAAGAAATAAACAAGAAAGTATAGAGAAAACGGCGAGTGGTAAACGAGGGTGAAGAAAAAAATCAAAAAACCCCTTACCCTCCGTGCAGTCGAGAAAAGCGGAATGCCCCTGTGACGAGCCGGTAGACCGAGTCCTCTTCATCGACGTTATTTTCGTGCTCGGTACCCGAAATGCTTGCACTCGTGACTTCTCCAAAAAGCGGGCAGACCCACCGAGCTACATATATCGTTTCAATTTATTCATTTATAATCTTAATTACACCATTTTGACAGTTGCGGAACCATCGAGAAACATCAGCGATACAGGAAAAACAGAAGCGCAGGTGGTCAAAGGGGGTGGGCGTGCGGGGCGTAAAACACTGCAACAGCAAACGAAAGCAAAAGCATTAAAAAAAGGGAGGGGAGACACACAGCGCACAGAAACCCTGAGAAAACATCACAGCAACAACAAAATAGAAAGCGAAAGTAGACAAGGCAGAACAGCGCAACTCGAACGACGAGAAGCGTGCTCCGTTGCCTTGCCCCCCCCCCCTCCAAAAAAAAAAGCCCAGTGCAAAGAAAAAGTAAGTAATGATGCCTGGGATTGCATTTGAAATGGAGGAGGCCATGCTTTATCGACCGGTGCTCCGCTCAATAGGCCTACAAGAACGCTTCATGACACCCTCGCCCTTTGCTCATAATTTAAAAACCCCTCTTTTTCGTTAGAATTCCGCTGTTTCCATCGAAGAGCCACTTCGCGCACGCCACACCTTTCGACACGGGGGGAATAAGAAAAAAAAAACGACGTGACAGTATCGAGAACAAGAAAAAAACGCGCATCTAAAGGTAGGCTTGATGTTGGCTTTAGAGGGAGATTAATACTTAAACCTTAGCTACAACTCCGAGGATATATACTTTTTCTTTCCACCGTTGCTGCTACGTGGGACTCAAGAAAAGTTGGGTAAGGGATAATAATAATAATAATAAATCCATGTTTAAAACAAGGAATGCAAGCGAGAGCATCCACCCTTGTCTTCCTCCTCTTCTCTCCCCCCACTAGTGTTACCCACAGCTGTGAGTTTTCTACGAGCGTTTCGTTCTTCTTCCTCTGTGTTTGGCTTTCGTGAATTCGGGCTATTGGCGTCCCCACACCCGTTCGCGCAGGCGATATCCGCACACGTACACGTTGCCTTCGCGGAGAATATATATACCTCGATAAAAAGGCAAGAAGCTGCGACAGCGTAAAGATAGCACAAGTGCAGGACGAGCAGTAAAATATTAATAAAAGAAGGAGAGATAATTGCGTGCGCCATGTATTCGCCTCCCATTGATTCGCTGAGCACACAGAGATGCACGCACACGACTACACGCACTCAAACGACAACTGCGAAGGAAAGAGAAGAAAGAGTTCGCCACCATAGAATTAGGTTTCACAAGCACCGTTTACAAATGCCTACTTCTTCTTCAGGCTGCCATGGACGGCAACACCCTTTGTCGTTCCACCGAACTTCTCTTGCAGGTCATCGAAGTCCGACTCGTTGAAGGTCACCGCCGGGTGACGAGAGTCGTAGTGCGCGTGCATTGACTTCATGTCCGGCGCCTGCGCCATGCACACCTTGCAGATGAACCGGGAGTGTCCGGCAGCGCCGCCCTTGCGGTCCTGCAGCCCAGCCGCGCCACCGCCCATGTTCGTCGTGGCCAGGTGGTTCTTGCGCGCCGTCTCGGACGCCGTGTGCTTCGTTGGTTTCGCCTTGCCGCCCATTGTTGGCTCTTTGCTACCTTCCTCCCTTTTCAAACCGGAAAAGGGTGTTGTCACGAAGGAGAGAGTAAGAGGAGTCACCACGACTTATCTGAAGCAGCCAAGGTGATCGCGGAGAGTGGAAAGGGTGTTTTCTCGTGCGTTGGTCAGAGGCGAGGAATTGATTGGGAAGAGAGAAGACACAGGCACCGCAAAAAATTTCTTTTTTAACATTTAAATAAAGCTACCTTGCTAGCGACCTGCAAAGAAATATGTGTGCTTCTTTCGTCCGGGTGGATATGCTCAAGTGTGGTCGTGACGGGAAAAAAAAAGAGTAAAAGAGGAGCGAGAAACAACGGTAGGTGTGTGTGTGTGAAACCAGATAACGTTCATCAGAGTGAAAAGAAGGAACGCACGGAATAACCGTAGTAAAGCACGGCGATACTCTTTAAATGGGACGAATGATGAAGCCGTGCTCACACCTCTTCCCTGATGAAAAGAGCAACAGCGAATAAATACACAGCGTTGGCGCGCCACGGCACCCCCGCTCGATTTGGCAGCGATGCGGAAAAGCGGAGAAAAATGAGAAAAAATAAAATTGCTGTTAAATACTACCAGTGAGTAATTAATAATAATAATAATAAAAGAGTTGGCAGAGAGTGATTATTTTTTTCTTCTTGACTTTTGTTCTAACGTGGCGATGACCGAAACACGGAAAGGCACAGACAAGGTTGACGCTACGCCACTCCGCAAAGGCACTTCTAGCAGCCTCCCTCGCTGCCCCGCTTCTTCCGTCCACGCCCTCCTACGCACTTGCCATCCGCAAAGCGCTGGAGTGCGACGCCAACGCTGCTCTAGGGTACGATGCCGCGCCAGCAGCAACAAAAGAGTCACCGCGTACAGCGAAGGACTTGATGGCGACGCGTGGGAGTGGGCATCTGCGCCTCCACATTCAGATAGATTGTCCGGAGGCTACGTACGCGGCCCACAGTTCGCGGTCCATCTGCTGAAGCGCTGCGCATCTTTCCTGTGGGCAACCCAAATCCGACATTGCAGCTGGCCCCATGCCGTTCCTCGACGTCCCTCTTCTTACGGAGGACAGCAGCATCTCCGGCGCTGAGGTGTCCGCAGTGGGGAGGAGGTGCCGCCTCCTCACAAATCGCGCGAAGGCTGGTGTGGTTGCAGGGGCAGCGGCGCGTGCCCTTGCGGCCATCTTCTCCATCCCTGCCCGGTCCAGCAGCGTGGCATCGCCGGCCAACGCGGTGAACCACCAGGAGGGCGGATACTGCTGATACAGCGACGCCCAACGACGCTCGAGACTGCGGTACAGGTCTGCGGCAATGGGCAGCGGACGCGAGATCGCTGCCTTCTTTTTGTTTTCGTCCTTGAAACCCAAAGCGTGGTGCTCCGCCTGCAGCCCCATCAGCTGCTCCACCTCGCGGGCGATGTACACCACGTCCTCCAGTGGCGTGCTGCCGTGTTGGAGGCTCGCCCAGGCCAGCGCGAGCAGGGCCCACCTGGCGCGGTCGCTAACCGCCACGTACTCGTTGAAGGTGATGAGAAAGGTGCGGTAGAAGGGCATGAAATCGGTGTGCTCGCCCTCTTGGAGAAGGAGCAGAATTTGGTACATCACCCGCGTGGAGAAGACGGTGGTGCGGGAGGGCGCGATGGACCGCGCGGCAGCGGCAGCCTCCTCGTCGTTGCAGCTCCTGTCTTCCTGCGTCGTCACGCCGTCCTCGCATGCGGCTGCCGACGACGCCGCATCACGCCTCGCAGCGTCGTTGCTGCTTGGCTCCACCGCGGCGAAGAGTCGCAGCACCACGGTTGGCGCCTCCATTTGCTTTACCGAACCACGCTTTTGACGCGTGACCCCCTTCTTTTCCCTCTCCTCCTCAGACGTCGTCGTCACCACGTACTGGGCCATACACTGCTCCCACTCCCTGCGCCAACACACAGACCGGCGGGCGTGCAGGAGGCGCACAAAGAGCAGCTCCTCCGCTGTCGGGCGCAAGAGCCCGTTGCTCAGCAGAGACCGCAGAACCATGTCGAAGGTCGGCAGGCCACACCGCGCGTAGGCGCAGAGGCAGGTGAAGATGTCGAGGTGCGTCGGCGAGCGACCCGGGGTGTCATCGAGGCAAAGCTGCAAACACCACAGGGCCACATCGGCGTCGAGCCCCTCTCCTGCAAGACGGGCGGCGACGCGCAGGACGGGCAGCGACGGCAGCGCACTGTCGAGGAGGGGCGAGGATGGCTGACGTGTGCGCAGCCGACGCAGCCAGCAGCACGCCCGGTGGCGCTGATTCGATTGCTGGAGGTAGCGAAGGTACCACATCAGCAGCATGTCCAGCTGGGCGGTTGCGGCGGAACTCGAAGAGGACACCGAAGCGGCCTTGGCAGTTTCATGACATCCGGGTCCAAAGGTGCGGCCCCCTTCCGAGGTCCAGTCGTCGAGGCACGCATCCGCGTACAGCGTGGCCCACTCTGCAATGTCGTGCTGACGCGCAGCGACAGCAGTGCGCAGCAGCACCACCAACGCAGGGCATGTGAGACGCACCGTTGGTGAAGGCGCGGCGGAAGGGGAGAGAGGCAGGTGGTTTGCCTTTCCGTGCTTTCGTGTGCTGCCCGACGCGGCGGGATACGGAGAAGTCGTGTTCGTCTGCTCCGCTTCACCGAACCAGCAACGGAAGCAGCTCGCGTACACGGCAGCGTGGGCAGCTGACCAGTCGCCGCCCGCCTGCGCGTAGTGGTAGCGCGCACTGCGCAGCGTGGCACGAAAGAAGGCCTCCCCACCGTCGTGGAGGCGCAGAAGACGCAGCACTCGCATCGTAAAGGTGTACCAGAGCTCCTCTACGCGCCGCGCGTCCATCGCTGACGTTTCGGGAGAGTCGATATTCGTGTTGGCTGCTCCGTCGACAGAGGAACGTGCCCATGCGCCATCGCAACTCCGCCCCTTCTTTGCTTCGTGATCCACCACCGTATTGGGTTCCACGCCGCTGGATGCACTCCGCTGGGGTGGTTGCATGATGGCGGACAACGGAGGGCCGTACCAGTTGTGCTGGAGAGCGACCCGTACACACAGCGCAAATATCTGCAGAGCAGCGAGCCAGCCAGAATGCATCTCAGGCGTCTCCGAGGCACCAGGGGAAGAGGTCCCCTCGTCCTCGTTCACGAATACCTGCACCACGTACGCGAGGCAGCGCTCCAGCGTACCCAAGTCAGCCGCCTCGCCCGCTGCGTCAAGCACAAAGTCGGGGATGGAAAGAGTTGTGCCATCGACGGCAGCACCGCTTTCGTGGGACTGCCTCTGCGGATCAAAGCTGCGCCCGTCATCATCACCAGCGCTATGGCGGCTCATTTTCGAAGTCGGGAGCACCGTATCAACGTACAAGGCGGCGCAGCGACGGTGCAATCCTACCACATACCCGATGCGGCACACATCCGTGATGAGGCGTTGGCGCTGCTTCTCCGTCAGCGCACCGAGCACGGGAGCCTCCTGTGCCACACGGTCCAGCATAGTCCGTATATCACCCACCACCGCTTCCGTCGCGTGCAGTGCGCGCGCGGAGTGGCGATGCTGACCATCCGGTGCACTTGCCAAAACTCCTCCCTCGACCACCATGTTGCTTTGGAGGTTCGGCGACCCCGCCTGACCAGCCGCATCTGACGCGGGCAGAGGCGGCAGAGTGGAGGAGATACCCATGCCCACGCAGAGGTAGTCGTGGCGACGCACAAAGGCGTCAATCTTCTCCAGCGTAAGACGCGACAGCTCGGCTGCAGGCGCAGACACCGACGGTGACGCGGAGGTGGAAGTCGAGGGAAACTCAGTCGAAAGAGAGTCGCCTACGGCGGGGTTCGCGGCTGCCCCGCTGAATGTGTCGTTTTCGAAGAGCTTGGACCCATCAGCTTCTGCTCCACTACTTGCATCGGACTGCGGTAAAGTTGATGATGCTGAAGGCTGCGTACCGAGAGACCGGGAGTTTGTGAACAGCAGCGTTGATGCCGCAGCGGCAGATGCAGAGTACTGGACGCTGACAGCGACGATGTGACGGTAGGGGTGGCACAGCCGACGGAAAGGATGTATGGACGCTGCGGAGAAACCCTTCATGTGACGCATTCTCCTGTAGGGGCACCGACGATGAAACAGGAAATAAATAAATAAAAAGAAAGCGATACAGGTTTTTTTTAAAGCACGTATATTTGTATCCTTTACTTGTGTGTGGGTGGACAGGGCAGGTTTTGTTGAGCTACAATTTCATAGGAACAGCAGCTGCCACCATACGCGATAAAAGAGACGAGCGCATCAGCAAGTTGCTGGATGTGTGACAATAATGATGACAAAAATAATAATGAAAAGAGTGAGGAGAAGCGATGTCAACGGAGGTGGGCTGTAGCAGAGGCGATGACGCCAGAAATAACACTTGGCATGCAAAGTTCATGAGTGAAAACTCAAGAAGGAAAAAATGCTCTGGTTGCCGCAAGTTCGACGAGGTGCTGAGCTTTCAGCCATTGCAAAAACCTGGCAGCAGAGCAAAAAAGAAATATTCTGTGTGCGTGTTTGATTACACGACGCGATTCATCTCCGCTTATTCCCGCTGTTTAAACGACCAAGTGCTTGAGAGATTCCGTGTATGTAATTCGGACAGTTGGATGTATAAAAGTTGGTGCGAGACGTTGATGAAGGTAACGCGTGTGCATGGAGTAAAAAAAAAAGAAAGCTAAAAAAAAAAAGAAATAGTGGAGTCAACAACAAGCAGGAAAGAACAGGAAAAAAGCAAGGCAGCTAGCTGGGTTTTGTGTGTTTGCGTTTCGCAGCAAAACACGCACACACGCACACACACACAAAGGCGCAATCGCGCGTACTAAATCGGAGAATATCCTTTTCCCTTCTGCGATCGATGACGGTGCAAAGAAAATGCATCAACACCGGAGATACTCAGTTAAAAAAAATTAAAACGAAGAACAAGAAGAATAATCAGCGAGCCCTTGACACACTTCTGATCAGAAGAGAACCGCTAAAGAACGACAACAACAAAAGCAGGAAAACAGCAAGAGTTTTGATAATGCATGAAACACGCAGCTCTCAGCACTTACACACACACACACAGGAAAAAGAAAGGGGTTGGCTCTACTGGCAATGAAGTCGGTTCTCCTCAATCAAGTGCCTCGTCTTCCCAGTCGAGATCGCTGTCATCGTACGTGACATCCTTCGCATACGTTTTCGCCGTAATCGGCGGCGAGTTGCGCGCACCACGCACGCCATTCGGGGTAAAGGGGCGTCCCTGAAAGCTGACAACTTGTGTGCCGCCTGCACCACCACTGCCCAGGGGGCGTAACGCCCGCTGACGCCGCGCCTTCCGCGTTTTCTTTTCACCCTGCGCGGCGCTGCTCTTCGCCGTAGTCGCGGCGTCTCGCGTGGCTTCTTTTCCCTTGCTCCTTTCGTCCGACACGGGTGGCAGAGGTGCCACCAGCGGTGCCTCCAGCCAGTGGTTTTCTAGTCGCAGTGGCGCACGGTGGCGCCGCTTCGCCTCTGACTCCTCTTCGCGAAGCTGGCGCCAATACTCAAGGTCCTTGTAGCCCTTTTCCCGGGCCTCCGTGGCACGCCGTACGCGATTGTTCCGCTCGTGCATGTACACGATGACGAAGAGGCCTGACCACAAGCAGGTGTGACGCGCAATCGTGCGCAGGAGGCCCAGGCGCTGCTCTCGTGCCGCTTGCTTGAGCTCCTCTTCCGTAAACCCAGTGCTGAAGGGATTGCAGAAGTCGGATTCGTAGGGGCGGTAGAAGAAGTACGTGGAGAAGTTGGGGTGCCGGCCTCGCTGTGCCTGACGTGCGCTGGCAAACTCTTCGCCCAGACCCGCGCCGTAGGAGGGCCGGTGCGGCCGCGCACGGTAATGCGTGTTGGACGGGTGCTCCGGGCTCCCCCGCTCATTCGTGTTCATGTTCACCTCCTCTTCGTACGCCTTCCGCCAGTACTGGTGATGTGTGCGTCGGTCGTTCGCCCACTGCGCGTGGGGGTGCGAGTAGAAGCCACACCCGCGACCGTCGTCCGCAGCAGAGGCCGGAGACGCACCGCCCTTGGTGTTGCCCTCCTCGCGGAGCAGCTCCTCGTACGCACCTTGGAGCTGTCGGAAGCACTCCACGTCACCGCCGGCGTCGGGGTGTGCCGTGAGCGCCCTTTCTCGGAACGCCTTTTTGATGTCGCTGGGCGTGTACGTCTGCCCTGCGTCTAAGCCGAGGACCGCACGTGCCGCCGCTGCCGTACGCCGCGGAATGCAGTAAGCAAACATCCTTTGGTATTCATACACCAGCGTGCGCCGTATGCGGTAAGTTGTGGCAACTGATCTCTTTCCCTTTCTTTCCGTAAATCCTGCTGCTCTAGGGCAGGAGCCGCACCGGGTGTAGTAGTACCAACACCCGCCAGACGAGGTGCGTCTTCGTCCCACCTTGCACGACAGCCAACAACAACAACATCGAAATGTGGCGAGGGAAAGAGAAGAAAGACAGAGGTCCGTGTATGGGAAGCCGAGGTGGATTTGTACAGCAACAAAAAAAAAAAACAGAAAAGAAAATCCATCAATGAAAACACTTCTCCTTTTAAATGCCGAAGAAGTGAATACAGAGGCTAATGCACAAGGAGAAGTGGCATGGGAGACGCTGACAAAGCAGCTACTATATGTGTAGCGACTGCCGGTGCAACGATGAAGTGCGGTGGCGCGCTGCGTGAATCACGAAGCAAACGGCTTAGAAAGAGTATCTTCAAAAAGCCCCGAAGTTTGTGGCAACAGACAGCGGAAACGTAGTTCAGCATTCAAGGAAAACCAAAAGAGGTGCGTGTGTTTTCTCATGCAGGTCACAGACGGTCACACAAAGACCTCTCAAAACAAAAACATGGCAGCTCGGGAGCAGCCGATTCCTGAGCCTTCCAGGCAACGCCAGTAGCAACAACAAACGGTGCGACCTGGCTTACGGAGCACCTTCCGTCGGCTCCGTTGGCGCCTCCTCCAATTTGCGAATCTTGACCGCACCACGCTCGCCACCTTTGTAAGCCTCCTCGAGCACCTCCACGGTGCGGGTGAAGAAGCCCTCCCGCTTCAAGTCGGCCGTGTGCTCAGCGAAGTCCGCCGCAGAGGGGTACGTGAGCCGCACCAGCTTTTCATCCTGTTTGAGGTAGTTGCGGGCGTAGAAGTGGCAGCGGTAGTGCGCGTTTTTGCTCTTGTCATCGCGGAAGAGCGCGCCGCAGTGGGGACAGCGGTGTCGCGCCGCCGGGGTGCGGCGGGGCGGAAAGACGTAGTTCAAGAAGCTCTTCAACGTTCGCTCGACCGTCTCGGGGGTGCGCACGCCCCGTTCAAACTTGCTCAGCGCTGCGCTTTTGCCGGCTGTGTCCGCCTTTGTGGTGGTGCTCGCTGGTCCGGCGGCGACGACGGCGGCGCTGACGCGGGCGGTGCTCTCGATGATGTGCTGCACGCTCTGCTGCCACACGTTCGCGGTGCTGCTGTTATTACCCGCTCCGCTTCGCTGGGCTGCGGCGCCGGTGATGGAGTTCGTGCCGTCCACACCGCCGTTGTCTGCTGCGCCGTCGGCAAATTCGCTGCCCTCTTGCTCCGCCTTCTCCTCCACCTCACGGGTGCGCTGAAGGCGGTCCTGCACGTACTCCTGCAGCCGGCGGTGCACGTCGCTGTTGAAGGCTTTCAGCACCAGCCACGAGTCGAGCAGCGCGTGAAAGAGGTGGCGGTACTCCTCCACCGCGTTTTCAATCCAGTACGAGGTGGCAGGAAGAAAGATGGGCACGCAGTCGGCGACGAGGTGGGGCAGCTCCACATCGACAGCCGCGTGCAGCTTGCTCGCCGCCTCCGCACAGACGTTCTTGACCAACGCGTCCAGCACGCAAAAGGCGATGTAGACATCCTGCACGGCGGCGTGGGCACGATAGGTCCGCTCCCGATCTAACGCCGACCCCCGAGGAGCAACCATAACCGTCCGCGACGAGGCCGCACCGCCAGCAGCAGCAGTACCAGCGGCAGAAGAAGATGGCCCCCCGGGCGACGTCGATGACGACGCGACGGTGCGCCGCAGCTCCTCACTTAGCTCGGCCAATCGCTTCCCCGTGTCCTTGATGCAGTTCTGCACGGTAAGCCACGCATCGAGCACCCAGTTCGGGCAGTCGTTCACGGCCCAGACAACGCCGTCAAGCAGAAACTGCGTGCGGGGAATCATAGGGGGTACGCTGATGAAGGGCTGCTGGCGTGACGCAACGCTGTACGACGGGGTGCGTAGCCGGCTGGAGAGGAAGGACTGTAGGGTGATGCACCACTCCTCCTTGCGCTGCGTATCCATGTCCATCTTTTCTCAAGAGAGGAGGCGGGCGCACACTAGAGAAAAAAATAATAAAATAGAGAAGAACAGCAACGCGCAAAAGCAAGACCGTGCGGCTAGCACAGGAAATCTACAAGCCTACAAGACGGAAACAGCGCTGGACTCGTCTGGAAAAGGAAAGAAAGGAGGCAAATCGTCCGGACCTGGAAGAAGAAGACGGTGATAAAAGAGGAGAGTTCGAGGAAGAGAGGAGTAGTGACGGCAGCGATAGCGACCACGCATGGCTGTCATGGAAGGGTAGAATGTGACGTTGGAACAGCTGCGGAGTGCTCATTTTCACTTTACACTCCGCAATCCCATGATGGCAGGGGAGAGAGAAGAAGGTGCTGGTCGAAAAACTGTGGAGCTACGCATCTTTGAAAAAACTTTTCGTTGCTGCTGCGTTTCTCGCTTGATTTGCGGAGGTGGTGTGCGGAGGGGAATCCAGCTGAAGAGGAGGGGGGGGGGGAAGGGATCTATCCGTGGAAGACCTAAGGGAAGATGTTATATCGGAAGCGGGCGACACGCAATCACACCAAAGCAAATACCAAGTGCATCACACGAGACGTCGGGGCGAGAAGACCAGCCACAACAAAAAACCCACGACACACGCGTCGCGTCCTCGTCTCCGCTTTCGTTTCCCCTTCACTCCCACGATTTGTCTTGGGCAGAGCTGGCACGTCCTTGATGGGCTGCCAGAACCCATTCCACAAACTGCGCCTTACGTGTTGCTCCCGCGGCCTGCACGACCTGGGCTTCCGAAATGGGACACCCCATGAGCACGGTCGCCTCCACTGCCGTCATCGAGCCCACTTCCTCCTTGATCAGCTTCCGCAGTTCCGCGGCTGTGTAGTGGTTTTCAAGCTCAAATGCTGTGATGGCCGGGTCAGTGATTAACTTGCGCTTCGCACGCAAAATTTCTTTAGGAATGCGCTGCGGATACTCCTTGAGGTAGCGATCGATGTTGTCGGCCGTGAGCACCTCCTCGCCGTCCTGGGGCTGCCACGCACCGAGGCTGTTCGTCTCACCGTCGTCTTTCGGTGACGCTTGCGGACGGCGACCCCCCTCTGCGTGCGGAACCTTGCGTGGGCGGTCGCCTCCACCGGCGTCGCTGTCGTTGCTGTTCACGTCTTCCTCCTCCTCCTCCTCCTCGCCAACTTCGATTGTTTCGTGGTTTTTCTCGTAGGACAGCAGCAGCCAGTCTTGCAGTCCTTCGCCCGGCGTGCTCGTCGCTGTGGTGCTCTGCGTGCCAGCGGTGGAGGAGGAAGGGCTGGTGCTGACGGTAGACACGGGAAAGACCACATCCACCACAAAGTCCACTAGCGAGTCGGGAAGAAGGGTGTTCGCCCTTTCGGAGGAAAAGACAAATGGCGCCTTCTCCGCAGCGGATGATTGCTTCTGCGGCTGCTGCTGTTGCTCGAAGGCGAAGGAGAGCACGGTGGGCTGCACGCCACAGGCCAGTATCACGCGCCTCACCTCGTCTACCGGACAACTGCGCATCCACTCGTCCAAGCCGTCAATCAGCATTTGCTCCACAAAAGGCGTGTCGGAGAAGGTCGCGATGGGGAGCGTGACGGGATCGGCGTCGGAGTCGTTGGGGGGCGGCGAGGCAGCAGCAGGCGCTACACCGAGAACTTCACGCAGGCGCACAAGCAGGTGAATCGGGAGTTCGCTCTCTACCTGCTCCGCGTAGTGTAAGAGAGACACCGGGTGACAGACCAGGTAGCTCCACTTAGTGTCGCGCGGCAGCGACACCGGCTTGCTTGTCAGCGCTGCAACGTCCTTTCCAGAGGGTGGATCGCCTTCGCGTTCCTGTGTTTGTGCGACACCATTGGCGTCTGCCGTCGCATCACGTGCGGTAGAAAGGGGAGCTGCTGGGCGAGCGGGGGAAGGAGGGAGCACTGCATCCGCCGTTGCCGCTTCTTTCCTCACGCCGGTGCCAATGGCGTTCAGGAGTGCCCGCTGCTCCTCCGCACTCGCGAAGAGGCGAGCGACGTTGGCACGCAGCGCCTGCAGCGATGCGGCGAGGATGGCGGCAACGGCGGTGCCATCTGCGAAGACCACTTCCGGGTGAAGGAAATGGCCGTCTGCGCTGACCTCCTTCGCTAGGACGAAAGGTTGAGTTCCGGTGTTGTCGAGAAAGGCCAGCAGACGGAACAGCACATTTGCCCTGTATTGATTCGCTGCTACGGAGCTCATGAATACAAGAACAAAAAAAGGAATGAAAAAGAGTTGTTGTTTCAGGAATGCGTAGTGGGATAACTATCGGATGGAAATGAATTACAAGCGTGAAAGACGAACACTAAACAGGCGCGAGAGTATGATGGGCATTACAACATCCATAAACGCTGCTTTGCTTCCCTAACGCAGTCCGGTGGAGGCACTCGTTGAGAAAGAGCTGGGAGGGGGGGGGGGGTAGGGGCAGTGCAAGGAAGGAAAAGAAAAATATTAAAGAGCAGATATTGGGTGCCTGGACAGGGTGTTGAGGGAACCCGGAATAGCGAAACAGAGAAGTCGTGCAGACAACACGCCAGCTGCAAAGAGAAGCAAGAGGCGAAAAAATATATCAACGGTACGCTTTGCAAGTGACTCGAAGCTCTCTATCAAACACAACCGTCGAGTCACAACCCCGGGGGTCCAGGACTCCCGTCTCCTTGTTCTCCCTCAGAGTCATAAGCGAGGTAGTAATACCACTTTCGATCTTCTTCAGACTCGCGATGACGGCTTCCTTTGTTAGTCTTCCCTGCTCTGTTAGGGAGGAGGGGGAGACACCTTCTATATAGTAAGATTTGAAGGAAAGCTGCATTCCATACTAGAAAAAAAGCCGCAGCAGCAGCAGTGAACGTTCAACACGCTCGCAGATACCCCACACAGCACACACACATACACACACACGTAACCACCACAAGGGAGTCTGCGCCTGGTCAAGGGCGTTGTTACGCGTCACCGCCATCGCGCGTGCGCTTCGTGACTACGATGACCAGATCGAACATCTCACCAACAGCGGAGAGGGGCAGCATCACGACACGACGTCGATGGTGCTGCGCGTGTGCATTGACAGATGCGTTGGAGGGAAGCGCTGCATTAGTTGCCTCGACGTCGTCTTTGTGAGTTTGGCCGCGACGGACAGAGCGAGAGGCAGACGCGCCGTAGCGACAGAACAGCGGGGTTGGCGGGAGAAGCTCGCCGGTGCGGGAACAGCGCAGCAGCACTCGGTTCATAAAAGTTAAGGAAATTAAATCGACAAAGCACATACGCACGGCATCTGCCGTTTCGCCCACCGCGGCGTCTCCACTGACGTCGTTGCTTTCACGCCGATTCTCGTGCCGTGTGTGATATCGGCCGTGCTTGGAGGAGGCGGAACCGTGAGCATTGTCGCTCACGACGCACAGGCTAGGGTGCTCCTTGAACGCGTTGGATCGACGGTAGGCTACTCGCGCCTGATAGAGCGGCACCCTATACGTAGTACCTTCCGAGGTGGCAGTCATAGTCGTAGTGCGACCGCTGTTGTCGGCGCCGACGCGGATGTGCACATCGCCAACTATACAAGCACCGAGTGGGGTGCGTTGCTGTGAGAGCAGATTCTTTGCCCCGTGCGCCGTGACGGCGCGGGACGTTGACACAGTAGCCGTCTCACACGTCAACGGCGGTGACGTTTCCACGGTGAAGCTGGGCTGGAGGTCAGCGGGCACATCGAGTTGAAGTTCTCTGCTGTGGAGGCGCAGCTCTCTGCTGTCGAAGCACAGTTCTCGACACGGCGGCCGCATCGTGGCTGTCGCGGTGATGATGTGTGTGCGTGTGTATGTAGCTGGACAATGAAAGATGGGGCACCGGAATTGTGGCTGCCTACCAAAGAGAGCGAAGAAGAGAGGGAGATGAAGAAGGGTGAGGTGCGGCGGGAGTTTGTCTATTAACAAAAAAAGCTGTTGCGAGAGGAAACATCATTTGTTAGTTATATTATCTTCTTTCTTCTTTGTACTTACTGCAGCACGTCAGAGGCCCCGTCGCTGCAATGCGCGGAGTGGCCAGGGAAGCACAGGAGGGAGACGATTTTTTCCTGTCACCGAGATGGGAGTGTTTGGGATGGACATGCAGTGGCGATAAAAGTAGGGCCTCAGGAGAAGGAAAAAACAAAAACGCGATGCTTCGCTATGAAGAAGAAGAAGACAGCAAAACAGGGAAAAAAGAAACCCCGTCGATACACTCGCTTCGCACCGCAAAGGAAGGGCCACGTTGCTCTGCACTCACGCTTCCTCCAAACATGATGAGCCGACCTCACCGCTGCTCGCGGTTCTCGTAGGTCCAAAAAGAAAGGCAGTCAATCAAGAGCCCCACAAAGAGACCCGCCTGCGGGGAGCGAACGAACTCTGCACGAGTGATGCGCAGCGGCTCTGCCTTCTCGACGAGGTCGAACACCTCCTGCACCACCGTTTCACGAGAAGGCACATCCAGTCCCGCCGCCACGAGCTTCGCGTGCGTCTCGCGGAAGAACTGATTCACAATCATCGGCGTCACCACGCCCGTCCCGTCCAGGTCCAGAATATTCCAGAAAAAATGGGGGCGACTGCACTGCGGCAGCAGTTCCACCGCAATCACGAAGTCGACGAACTTACGGTAGTCCATCTCCGATCGGGTCATGAGCGTGTTCGTTTCAAAGTACCGATCGATGAAGAGGGCGCAGAGCGGACTTGTATCGAGCGGCAGGCCGTCGTCGATCACCGTCGGCAGGCCTTTCTTGTAGGCGCGCAAGTTATCCACATTCAGCGTGCCCTTGTTGCGGGTATCCAGCATGACGAACTTGTTGTACAGCTGCTGGGTGACCGCCGCGCCAAACCAGTTCTGCGGGTCGTCCTCGGACATGAGTTGCAGACTCACCCACTCATTCATCACGCTGCTCTGCAGGAGGGAGTGAATGCGCAGCACGCCGCGATTGCCGGGGTCTAAGTCCCAGAACAAACGACGGCTCACCGTGCAGCAGTAGAACGGCAGGAGGTCGTTGCTCATGGAGGTGAGCGCGGCAATACGCGGGGCGAGGTCCTTCACGTAGTTCTCCACCTCATCTTCAGAGAGGCGGCCGTCGTTGTTGCTGTCCCACATAATGAGCTCCGCCTCGCACTTCACGAGCGACACTTGCTTCGCGAAGGTTTGATACATCACCGCGATATCCACCGCCTTCTCGGCGTTGCGGGGGCAGGAGAGAAAGAGTTGCATATCGGGTCGCGGCGGAGGCACGGAGCACAGGTACAGGACGTTCCCCAACGCTGGCTGATCTTCGGCCAGGTGGAGCACCCGCTCAAGCTGCACGCTGCTGCGCTGCGAGAGGGTCGTGACGGACTGCAGACTCTCACTGTGCCGTTGCTGTTCGTGCTGTTGTCGTTGTTCGCGAAAGCGTTGGATGTGCTGCACGACGGCGCCCCAGCTTTGGCTGCGTGTGCCGCTGCGACTGTCGCCGAGGCTGCCGCCTATCGTGGGCACAGACGGACTCTGCAGGTCGGGCGCGTTGCGCTCCGGTGACGCGGACACCCGCAGAGACGACGCGACGGAGTCGCTAAGACTGGACGTGGCACCGGGTCCACCCAGAGGCAGCGGCAGCGGCAGCATTGGCGCTTTTTTACCTTCAACAGCGTCGTCTTCCGCTTCGCCCTTCTCCTCCTCCTCCTCCTCCTCCGAAAAGGAGAAGGAGGGCATCTCCCAGACCGCGGCTGGCGGAGGGGGCAGCTGCGCTCCGTACTGCACGGAGGCCCACTCATTAAATTCCCTCATCAGCTGGTCGTACTCCTCCAAGGTCACGCTGCGGCGATCGCCTGCGTTGAGCAGCGTCCACAGCTTCGCATGCATCTCGTCCAGCTTTTCGATTTCCTTAAAGCGTAGGTCTAACTCGAACGCTTTGCAGGTGCTACGGAGGAGTCGCGTTGCCTCGTCACCGGCCGGGTCACGCGCGCGTAGGTACAGCGCCGGAAAGAACGCAGACGACGAGTGCGTGCGCTTCTCTTCCACGGCGCGGTTGATGCGGGCCGTCTCCTTTGCGAAGCACTGCGTGTCGTACGCCTCCACATCGGAGGGGGACGTCAGCGAGCGCTCTTCCTGTGCGCGCGTGGCCACCTCGCGGAGACGCCGCGTGGCCGCTTCGATCAAGGCGGGGGGAGGGTCACTCATTGATAAGAGCAGTTTCCTCCCCTCAATTCGGTCGCCGTGAAAGCTGTTCTGCACAACCGCTGAGTTATGAAGGAGGAAAAAAAAAGACAAGAGAAAGAGAGCAAGGAGGAGGAGGAGGCGGAGAACTCTTCTGCGCTGTTCACGCAATCGACGTACACCTAACACACCAAGAAAAAGGGAGAAGGAAAGAAAGAAAGAGGAAAGCAGGCAGAAAACATTTAGCAGGTGTTACTAGTGTGTGTACTCATACAGTAGTGGGACACGACCTGGCTGCAACGAGCCACGTAAGTCACCCGCATCTTTTTCTCAGGCGGTCCATTTGAGAAACCTTGCAGCTTTTCTTGGTTTATTATCTCTTCGAGTGCGTTTCCTCTTTTCCCTTTTTTTAGGTGAGAATGACGGAATAGAACCGCACGAGAGCCAAGAGCTCCGCTACCGTACACAACGCCTTGACACGCCTATTTCAGTCATGCGAACACGCACGCCAAAGCCTCAGAGCGATTCCCACTTCACGTGCTTTACCTGCAATTTCGTGCGCTCCTTGATGACCCGGTGGGTGAAGGCCGCGGCGCTGTGGTTGCTGCGATCGACGATGAACACCGCCAGACAGAAGAGCATAGGAGCAAACGTCCACAGGTACTCGCGACGGACCACGTGCGCCATGCTCGCCTGCATCGCGCGCAGCTTCTGAAAGCGCGTTTGCACAAACACACGGGCGGCAGCGGTAAAGCGATCCGTGTCCTTCAAGTAGTGATCGTACGCATCGAGGTACTCCTCATATGTTGCGTAGGAGGTGGGCGAGGGCATCTGCGGTGGGTTCTTCAGGTCTAACTGCGTGAAGGCGGGAAACCTTTCGCTGTCACTGCTGCTATCGCCATCCTCACCTTTGTGGTGTGCCTTGCTTGTTGAGATGCTCGACGAAGAATCTGGCTTGTGTCCACGCTGGTCTGACAGGGTGGAGGAGTTCACAGTGTAGGTTGGCACACTGTACGCGCGGGCGAGCACCGGATAGCTACCGGCAAGGGCAGCTGTCACAGCAGCGCAACGTCTTGCGCATTGACTACCGAGGCACGACTGCATTGGAATGAGACGACGCCTGAGCTGCTAACTTCGTCAAATGCTGGCTTTGAGCTTGTGCGTGGGGGAGGGAGGGGGGGGGGGGTAGGTGCTCCAACGTGTGCGTCGCCGCCGAAATACAAGAGCTGAAAAGCGGCCTCGCTGCGCTTCATATAAACAGATTTTTAAATTTACAGACGGAAGTTGAGAATTTCATGAGTTTTTTTTCTTTGGGAAGTCGTGGAAAACGAGAGAAGGAAGTTTCCTTCAAAAAACACCAACGAACGGAGGTAGGACTTGAGAACATTACGCGCTACCTTCGCGGACAGACGCGAATTAGCTGCAACACAGCGCAGCTGACTGCGAGACACAGAGAGAGGGCGTGCTCGTATACTATCGATTTTGTGTAGAAGTACAAACCTTTATTATTCTTTTATCTGCGTGTTACAGTTGTTTTCGCCTCCCTGTCCACTACAACGTCAGCAAAAGCAGATGAAAAGGACAGTTGTGCGTTGGGGTAAGCAGGAAACGCCAGTGCATTGGGTGTACGAAGCAGCCCTGCTCAGAACTTCCACGGGTGCGTTGCACCTTCAAGAAAAAAAAAGCTGTTGACAAGTGCATGAACTGCGCCGCCAAAGCCGTTCGTTCCACCGACAAGTCAGAGAGTCCACTGAAGGAAAGCACTATCAACTCAGGCTCAAATCAGAAAAATAGATGCGATTGTACTTTTAGGTTGTATCATCCTTCTTGTCACGCCGTCACGTGCCAGCCCCCCCTCCCCCTCTTCGCCTATTTGATCTTCTCGAAAATATCTCCGCTGACGTTGCAGGAGGAAACAGACTTTACACGTTCGTCGAAACTAATGCACACACTACCAGACCAGAGCAAGCCTTCAATCCACCAGCCTCTACGGCGAACCGGCAGCGAGAAGAAACAAACAACAACAACAAGCAGAGAACGCGCAACGGTGTACCCCCCGAGTCCACGACCGGCATGCAGCTGTCCCTTCTCTCCTCCCACCCTCTTCCTTTCAACTTTGATTCTCCAGTTCGCCCGCTTTCAGCTCACTTCGTGAGAAAGCATTTGTACCTGCATTCTCCAAGAGGAGTCGCGAGCCGGCCGTTCGTTCCACCGACAAGTCAGAGAGTCCACTGAAGGAAAGCACTATCAACTCAGGCTCAAATCAGAAAAATAGATGCGATTGTACTTTTAGGTTGTATCATCCTTCTTGTCGAGTCGTCTTATTGGCTGCGGATGTGGCACGTACATCGCCTGTGCAGTTCTCTTTCCCAAATTGCATTCATATGTAAAGCATACACACCTTTTGGGTTTCATATGGCAGGACGAGAACAAGTAGGAAACCAAGCAAAGAAAGAGAAGGGCAGCGAAGAGAGAGAGAGGAGGAGGATTCGCAGGTGGAGAAGCGCAGCAGATGCCGTCGGCAACACGCGAAGGAGAGCGGCGAAAAACGAAGGGTAGAATCTCGTTGACGATAAAGAAGAAAAAAAAGAAATGAAACGAAGAAGACAATGCGAGCGAATGCGAGACGCCTGCGATGCATGCTTCCTTTCGTGCGCGCGACAAGCGCGAGCATGTGGCGTACTTGCGTATCTCTGCGTTCAGTTTTCATGTTCTTGGTCTTCTTGAGCTGGACGATTTCACGTGAAGAAAGAGTCGGCGCGCGCTGCGGGTACATCGCAGTGGGTATAGAAGGACGAAGAGCGAGTTCGGCAAGCCCTGCTTAACGGCAGCAAAGATTAAAAAAAGAGCTTGGGGAAAAGTGGCGGCAAGCAAGCGGGCGAGTGCGCTCTCCTCCCGTCAAATTCAAAGTGTTGCTGTAGTACGCGTATTCACAAAAAAAGCGGATAAGAAAGAAAAGCAAACAAACAATAGTCTACAAGAGAGCATCAGGGCTGCTTGCCACGTACATGCCAGCTGCCATTAAAAAGCGCATGCTGCGAGTAGCTACAAATGAAGTCGTGACGTGCAGGAATATTTCGTGTCGTTGGTGTTGCGACGCACATAGTGAAAAGAAGAAAGGGAAAACAAGGAAGGCAAGAAAACAACACCTAAAAATACAACGCACACACACACACATACAAATATAAAACGGCGGTGATATGGATGACACTCATATATATATATGTATATTGTTTGCACAGTGCGAAGACGCCATTATATGTCAGGGCGCCTTCACGTCTACTTGTGCTCTCTCTCGCTATGCAGCGCCTGGACCGCCTCGTCGTTCGTCTCCTTCTCCGATGACGACGGCGGCGACCCGCGCATGCCCAGCGACTGTGACTTGAACTCAATCGCCACCTTTACCATCTGATCCGCCGTGCCTATGGCCGCAATCGGCTCCCCGTCGTACTGCATCGTAAAGTTCGCCGGTGCGTACAGCACGAGCGAGGACGCTTGCCCGAGCTTTTTGCCGGAGCGGGTCTGCGTGCCGACGCCCACCATGTGCCACACGCCCTCCAGCGCTACCACCTCTACCTTGCCATCGTCCACCGCCGGGGCATCATACTGGTGGTGGGCGTCGCCCCAGAGCACGTTGCCGCCCGCGTAAGTGATCATGTTCGACACCACGATCGACTTCATGTTCGATGGCACCTTCTGCGCCGTCCCGTCCAAAGTCAAGGAGAGCTGCTTCTTGGGCAGAGTGTTGGCGCAGCACATCGCGTTGCAACCGAAGCAGCCGTACCACATTTTGTTGATCACACGCGACTTGCACATCTCCGGGTTGTGGTCGCGGAAGTCGCCGAACTGCTTCGCTACCTGCGCATCAAAGCCAATCGAGAAGTAGTTTGTGAAGACCTTCTTCACTTCTTTCGGGTTGGATGAGAAGGACCGCACTGGGAGCGGTGATGAAAACTCTTGCTGTTGCTCATGCTGCTGCTCAGCGCTGTCGTCTGCCTCGTCTGGGCGGCTGTATGGATGGTGATCTGCCTCCTCAAAGCTGCGATCTTCTTTCTTTTCTTTTGGCCGCGGTGACGCCGGGCTTTCTCCTGACTTCTTATGTCCATTCACCGCACCGGAGTGACCGGCCGCGACCGCGTCGTGATCCACCGCCGTAATGGATAGCGAAAAGCGGTCGATCTTGCACGGGCGCGCCGCAAAAAGGCGGCGGAGTAGCTTTCCAAACTGCTCCTCCGCTTTCACGAGCGGGGTGTGGTAGCCGCCACCGAAGCCGAGACTGCGACTCAGGTCGTTGCCGGTGCCCATTGGAATCACCGCGATTGGTGCCGTTGCCGGCCCAATCAGATCAGCAGCGCGCACCGCGTCGACGATGTCCAGTCCCAGTGAAACGGTGCCGTCGCCTCCCGCCACCACCAGCAAATCCGGCTTGCGCTGCGCCACAAATTGCTTCGCCTCCTCGATCAGCGGGGGCTTCCCTTTCACAGGAAATAAATCGAACACGTTGTCCTCGCCGAAGTGCTTCTTGAGCTGGTCCGACACGAAGAGAGCGGCGGAGCGTTCACCGCTGCATTTGTTGACCAACGCGCACGGTCGCTCCGGCTCGGAAAAGAACTGCTGGTTGTCCGTTGGGTAGTCCGCCATGACTGGGCTGACTCGCTTTAGACGACGCACAGAGAAAGAATTAATAATAATAACGGTGTTTTGTTTTTACGCAGCAGCACACAAGCGAACGCGCCGATGTGCTTTGCGGCCCAAATGCGGTCGCAGAGGGGAGAAAACAAAAAAGAAAAAAGGAGACGAAGAGGTGGCGAGCTGAACGGGGCGTTGGGGGCCTGTGCGCCTCTTCAAAGCGGGTATACACAGCAGATGCGTGGAGAAGGGGCAGAAGTGTTGCAGAGCACCTACGTTGGGGAGAGGAGAGAAAGCTGGGAGAAGAACTGACGACAGAGGAAGGCGGAAGATGCTGCTGAGGCCACGGTGAGTTTCCGTGCTAACCAAATCCGCACGGCGCAGGTTTCAGCGCGAAGAGCACAACAGCCACGACAAAAATGCGGGCGCCCAGCAGGTTTGCCCACCGCAAGTATGTAGGCACGCCTTGAAATGCGTCTCTTTACATGAGGTTATTCTTATCAGCTTTTACCGCCACAAAATGTAGAATTCCATGTGATGATGCAACCCAGAACCATCACGTCATCGACTCTTTCTCTCTCTTTAAAAAAAAAGGTGCGCATACGAGACCCGTTACAGCACTACTCTGTAACCGCGCTGCATCGTGTTCATGGCCTCAAACTTCCAGTACTTGAATCGTATCGGATCCTCCACGCTGAGCCGCTTCGCCAAGTCTAGCGCGGCGGCCTCATACCACAGGAAGCACGCGACGGCCCTGTCGCTTTCCTGCTCGTCTTTGTCGTCCCCCTCTGTTGTTACTTCGCCGCTTTCCCACGGCAGACACGAAATCCACTGCGATTTTATTCCCTCCCTGTATGCCTCCGGCGGCCGCCGTTGATGCACCACACACCGCTGCCCTGCGCTCAAGTAGAGCCCCCACATCTCCTCCAGCACCGCTTGACACAACAGGTACTGGGCGGTGCTGACTTGGTGGAAGTTGTCGAGCATGTATTGCGAGCTGCGCTCGTACAAGGTGGTCAACAACGCAACCTTCTGAGACGTTGCACTCGCAGGGGATGGCGAGGAAGACGAAGAGCCACCTCCAGTGGTAGCTGCGGCACGTAGTACGCGGGCGGACTGCCCTTCCAGCTCCGTCACGCGCTGCCGAATCGACGTCTGCAGCACTCGCTGCACGTGCCGAAGAACCGAAAAGCTATCGTGGTAGTCCGACCACGCGAGTCGGGGGTGCCGCATGCAGCGAAACACCGCATCGCACGCAGGTGCGGTGGTGGCCGTGTCGACCGGGTCATCCCCCGCCTGCGCACCGAGATCCGCGGCAGCCGCGGCGACCGGTGTGCACAACGGGCCATCGCGAAGGTAACGCAGAAGTTCCTGCGCGGCCGGTGTATCCTCCGTACTGCCGCGAACACTGGCGCCTGTGCCCTCCGCATTTTCCTTCGCACCACGCAGCACGGCGAGCCGCACCGCGACGGTGTGGAAGAGCGTGGCGATGCTGCGAGCGTGCGTGTAGGCAGACTCGTTTGTTGGGTCCACGTAGAGCCATTGCAGCGCAAAGTCCACCTCGACCATGCAGAGGGTGTGCACGACGTCGCGAAACTCCGCCTCGCTGACATGGGTGTTGCTGTCGCCATCACCACCACTACCTCCGCCGCCGCACTCAAAGCACGGTCGCTGCTGCTCCTGCCAGAGTCGACGCAGCAGATCCTCTTTGAAGAGCGAATAGCGGTGGCACCAGGCAGAGTTGTTGAGGCAGTCGCGGTGCAGAAGCTGCGCCGTGAAGTCCATCTCGTTGGTGAGGGAGCTCGGGGGGAGGGTTGGGCGACGGGATGCCGGCAGGGCGGAGGCCGAATCCGCCGATGACGCGAAAGCCCACGCCGGGTGCACGCGAAACGTCCATGGCCGCTGCGCCGCCGCGGTGAACGCCGTCAGCGCCGCCCAGTTCGGCGGGTGCAACAGAAACGGCAAGGCGTGCAGGTACCACGAGAGGTGCAGCCAGGCGTGGTAGTTCTTGCTGTCCTCCTCGCCGAGCACCGCCTTGATCGTTGCGCGTTCATCGACGTCGGCGAAACGCAGGCCGTGGTGTCGCTCCAAATAGGCCGAAAAAACCTCTTCACTCTCGAGTAGAGACTGCACGGATTGCTTCAGTGCTGCTGCGGCTGCGCTGCTTTCATTCGGTTCGACGTGCGCCGCCGGAGGAGAGCCGGTGGTGCTCTGCTGCAGGGCGTAGCAGAGGAGCTCCCTGCGATGGTGCCATACCTGAAAGTTCTTGTGATAGAATCGCGTAAAGCAACCGACGGCGTTGAGCTCCCAGCGCACCGCCCTCCACGGGCTGAGCGGCATGGTGGGCAACGCGTCATCCACGGCCGCCGCCGTCGCATCGCTGTTCCAGAACAGATCCGACGCCCCGGGGAGCCAGTTCTGTGCGACCAGCTCTATCTTCTTGGTGCTCTCTTTCATTTCCGCCAGCGCCGTCGCCTTCACGGCAGCCCCGGCCGTGGTGTCGGAGGAGGAAAGAAGCACTTCTGGCAGCGCCTGCGCCGGAAGGCGATCGCGCGTTGCGCGCCGCAGCACGTCGGGCGACATAATCACGTCACGCCGGTCCTTCCACACCGTGTAGTTGGACGTGCACTGACGCAGGGTGAACCCGAGCAACAAAAGCCACCGCGCAGGCGAGGTGTGAAGGGCACGGATGATCGGACCTGCGTGGTCGCCACGGCGTTGCTGGGCGACCGCCTCGGCGTACTCTACCCGGCTGCGGAGAGCGCGGTAGAGCCCGTAGATGAACTTAAAGTTGGGCGAGTAGTCGATGTGGGCTACAGGGTGGAGGGAGGTGGTGGTCTCCTCTTCCGGCGTCACATCCTTGGAGAGCGGGAGAAAGGTTTCCACACACGCCAATTGGTAGAGGTGGTCTCCGTCGATGGAGCTGAGGGAGTGCGCAGAGGTGTCCAACAAGGAGGAGGACGATGAGGCCGATCGATCAGGCGGTGCAGCCGACATCTCTACGGCTTAGTACCTCGCAGTGATGCGGAAACGGAGGCCACTTGCTTCTTCTTCTTCTTGCGCTTGAAGGCTGCTCGTTTACTGAGGATTCACTTCAGCGACGGAAACGAAGTGAGGCGAATGGGAAAGAAGCAGCGATTGGGAAAGAGCGCCAAAACATGCAGACATGCTACCATAGACCCGGCACGCAGGTGTTTCGATTTCCTGGTTTTGCGGAATCTCGGTAACACGCGGGCGGCGGAGCAGAATAATAAAAGCAAGAAGCGCGACTCCCTCTCCTCCCTTTTTTCATTCAAGAAATGCAAGGCGAATGAAAAAAAGAAAGAATAGAGTTCGCAGCGGTCCACGTGGAAGAGACGCGACCAGATGAGCGCATACTGCCCCGCCGCGTCCACGAGGGAGAAATGAATCAGCAATACAGCCGTCCCGGTGACCCATTTTCCATTCTTGTTATTGGTGTCGGTCGATTTGAATGAAATCCTTATTAGATCTCCCTCCCAGCTTTTCCTCACATTTTTCTGTGAGCAGAAGACGTACAATTCTTTTTTCTCTTTTCTTTTATTGGTACCAACCAAACAAGAAATAGTGATAATAAGAAATTCCAAGCATTTCACACCTAACGCATATATTTTGTGTGTGTTGTCCATCACCCTTTTACTCATTTCTCTTCTCTTCCGCCCTCCCCCCCCCCTCCCCTACGTGCGCAGAGGAACCGGCGGTAGCTGCCTTCCTGTCCGTTGAAGCAGCGACGAAGACGAAGAGCGGAATGCCCCCAAACGCGGAGGAGCAACGGAAGAAAAAAGAAAAAGAAGAGAAGAAAGAAAGAAGAACAACACAAAGAATTTAAGTTCAATCCGATTCGTGACGAGAAATTGTGAAGCACAAAAATAGAAGAGAAAAGAAACGAGGAGCGACGACTCGTGAGAGGGACGAAGAAGAAAACCGGCATTGGCATCCGGAAGGAAAACGAATCGAAGCCGAAAGAGATGATTATTTTTTGATCGAATGAACACTTTCATGTGCTCGTCTTCTTCACCATTTCAATGCCTTTTTTTTTTCCAACAGCCAGCACTGCTGTGTGACTTCTGTTCTTTCAGTGCTGTCCGCATAGTTTTCACTGGGGAGCTTTTGAGCCTCCCAAAAAACAAACACACATACGAGAAGAGAAAAAAAGGAAGAGAATACACGAGAGTCTGTTTAAAGCTCCTCACCTCGAACACGAACGTTCAGATTATTGTATAAAGTACTTTTTTTTCTTTGCGCATGTGACGCCGACGCAGTTCGCCTGAACGAAACCTTTATCATTGCATACACCACGCAATGCCGATCCCACAACTTCGACCCTCGAAGTTCCCTTTTACGGGGGCAATAAAACGTTGATCCTGAAAGCAGAAGAGAGAAAGAAGAAGACACTGATACGTGGTAACACAGAGAGCATGTGCGGAGAAAAAAAGAGTGTCATTCATCGAGGAGCTCAAGTTTGCACGCTGTTGTGCTGCATGGCAAAGCAAATAAGAATCGGTGCTCCACCACCACCCACGCGCAAGTCCCACACCACAGCGGGTATGCGCGCACCGGTGTGCTTGCGTTCTCTCCCCCGCCTTTTGCCCTTTTACGCTGCGCTTCTCCTCTTTCGCATTCGATGGCCGCTCTCCGATCCAAGGCGATGGGCGACAACAGCAAAAGCAACAAGAAGCAACGGAGAACAAAGGGCATTCACTGTTTTCCTTTTGTGCCGTTCAAGAAACAACACCGTGGCTCGTTGCCGCTGCTGCTGAGGCACCTCCTTTAGCCAGGCCGAGAAACGAAAAAGAAGAAAAGGCCAATCAGCACACTTGCCTCATCTGCCGTAGAACAACAAAAAGAAGAAGTCGAAGAAAACGGACGAGGTTTGGACAGAAAAGACGAGAAACGAAGAAGAAACCGAAAGCGAAAAAAGGCTAAGCATTCGCACAGAAACGTGTATAGCGCGCAGGGAGAGTAGAGGAGAAAAAAATATATATAAACGGAAATCAACAGTAGTAAAAGTAATGTATGTTTTTCTTTATGTCTCTTTTTGGTGTTTTCTCTCTCTCTCCTCCCATTTATTTTTGTCTGATTAGTCCGAGTAAGATGTTAAGTTTTGTAAGAGATTAGTTTGTGCCGTCACCGTCGCCGCCGTGCGCGCGTGCGTGTACGGGTGCAACGCAGCGCTGCATCTTTCACCTCTCGGAACAACGCATCTTCCTGCTTTTGAGGGCACTGCTTTCTTTCTCCCCATTTTCCTGCTCTTGTCGCGTGCGGGCGACACATGTCTTCTTATGCAAATATATATGAGTATCCCGCTGAGGAAAAAGGGGAAAAGACCGGACATCGGAGGGGTAAAACAGGAGTGACGGGAAACAACCCACCACCGACACGACCCACAGACAAAGGAGACGGCAGCGCGTAATTCCAACGGAAGTGAAGGAATACGAGCCTGCACACCGCCATGACGCGCACACACGCATGAGGAAAAACAAAAAGGAAGCGAGGGAAAAGAAAAACGGAAACAAAAACAATCCAAAGGCATCAAGTGAGAAGCACCTTGCTGTGACGAAGGAATCATGAGCTCCATTCAACGAAAAGAAGCGGGAGGCACACTCACACCCGCACACAGTCAGCTCAGCACACAGGAAGACCAGAGATGGCCCACGCACCCACGCATAGACCATACGATCACACACCAGCGGCTCCTCGACATCTTTCCTCGCCCTACTTCTGAGAGGAGAAAAGGAAACAAAAAATGCCACCCGCGCCGGCGGTACGATCTCCTGCGGGGCCGTCGACCGCGAGCATCCGCTCGGCAAACAACAGAAGAAGGAGGAAAGAGGGGGAAAAAGCACGGAGAGCGCCGCGAGACCCGGCGAGCCGAAAGAGGAGAAAACGAAAAGAAGGGGAGGGGGACTTCACCAACTTACCGAGCGAAAGAAGAAGAAAAGAAGAGGAATTTGGAAAGGACGCAAGCTTGAACAACGACAGGTGGAGGGAAAATGCAGGTGAGTGGGGAGGGCAGCGTATGCGGCTTACGGTGTTACATTCCACAAACTGATGTTTTCTTTCACAAATATATGTGCTTTTCCCTCCATCCCCCCCCCCCTCCTCTCCCCTCTCTCCGTACACGTCTTCCTTCTCTGGTCGACTCAACCGCTTTCCTCTGCGTCGATCCTGCTGTCGTTTAGATGTCCCTTGCTGTGCAGCATCCCCTCTTCCATGTCACGCACGCAACGGCCCCTTTTCGGCATTGCAGCTCCCCTCCCCCTCCCTTGATTTCGCATGGCTTACGAGAGCAGCTTGGCGAACATGTCGTTGCCCTTGTCGTCCACAATGATGAAGGCGGGGAAGTCCACCACCTCAATCTTCCACACCGCCTCCATGCCGCACTCCGGGAAGGCGAGGCACTCCACCTTCGTGATGTTGTTCTTGGCGAGAATGGCGGCCGGGCCACCGATGCTGCCGAGGTAGAAGCCGCCGTGCTTCTTGCACGCGTCCGTCACCTGCTTGCTGCGGTTGCCCTTCGCCAGCGTGATGAAGCTGCCGCCGTTGGACATGAAGAGGTCGACGTAGGAGTCCATGCGGCCGGCCGTGGTCGGGCCGAAGGAGCCAGAGGCGTAGCCCTCCGGCGTCTTGGCGGGACCGGCGTAGTAGATGGGCGACGTCTTCATGTAGTCCGGCATCGGCTCCCCGTTGTCCAGCATCTCCTTGATCTTGGCGTGCGCGATATCGCGGGCCACGATCAGGGTGCCGTTCAGCATCACACGCGTGCCCACCGGGTACTGGCTCAGCTGCTTGCGCACCTCGTCGATGGGGCGGTGCAGGTCCACGTCGACCGCCGCGGCACTCATGTTCGTCGGTGCGATCTCCGGCAGGTACTGCGCCGGGTCCATCTCGAGCTGCTCCACGTGCACGCCGTCCTTGTCAATGCGGGCCAGCAGCTGGCGGTCGGCGCTGCACGACACGGCGAGGCCGACGGGGCACGAGGCACCGTGGCGGGGCAGGCGAATGACGCGGGCCTGGTGGGCGAAGTACTTTCCACCGAACTGCGCGCCGATCCCGCTCTTCTGCGCCACCTCCATCACGATCTTCTCCCACTCCGGGTCGCGGAAGGCGCGGCCGTACTTGTCGCCGGTGGTGGGGAGGGAGTCGTAGTAGCGGCAGCTCGCCAGCTTCACCGTCTTCATCGTCATCTCCGCGCTCGTGCCGCCGACGACGAGGGCGATGTGGTAAGGCGGGCAGGCCGCCGTGCCGAGCGTCTTCAGCTTCTCCTCCACAAACGCGCGCAGCGACTTGGGGTTCAGCAGGGCCTTGGTCTGCTGGTACAGGTAGGCTTTGTTGGCCGAGCCGCCGCCCTTGGCGATGAAGAGGAACTCGTAGGCGTTGCCGGGCACCGCCAGCAGGTCCAGCTGCGCCGGCAGGTTGTCGCCGGTGTTGCACTCCTTGAACATGTCCAAGGCGGCGGTCTGGCTGTAGCGCAGGTTGTGGTACTTGTAGGCGTTCCACACGCCCTTCGACAGGTACATCTCATCCTCGCCGCCGGTCCAGCAGAGCTCGCCGCGCTTGCCGAGGATGATGGCCGTGCCGGTATCCTGGCACGTCGGCAGCACGCGGCCCGCCGCCACGCACGCGTTCTTCAGCAGCGTCTCGGCGACGTAGCGGTCGTTGTCGGAGGCCTCGGGGTCCTCGATGGCGCGGCGCCACCCCTCCAGGTGGTCCTTGCGGAAGAAGTGGTGGATGTCGGTGTAGGCGCGGTGGGCGAGCACCGTCAGCGCCTCCGGGTAGACCTTCAGCACCTTGCGGCCAAAGACCTCCACCTCCTCGACGTACTTCTCGCTGCCCTCGATCTTGCTGTACTCGGTGTGCAGGTGGTGCGGGTCCTCCGGCTGGAAGATGGCGGAGAAGTGGAAGTCCTTGTTCACGGCCGACTCATCTTCAATATCCTTGATGCCGGCGCGGTGGCAGCCGATCTCGCACTGGTCGCAGAGAGACATGGTGAAGATAGTGTTACTTTTTGTTTTTAAAGCTAAGAGGCGAAGTAGACAAATAAAACTGTATTATAATCTTTGCTCTTTTTGATGGATAGGAAAGAAACAGCTGACACAGTAGAACGCGGAGACACAAACAGAATATAGATAAAAGCCAGTATACCTTGAGAGGAATCAGGACTCGTATCTTACTCGGGTGTGTGTTTTTGTGCTGACGATGGCAAATTGCTGGTTTATATGAAAATATACGAAAAAAGCGCAGATATATTTTTTTGAAGGGGCCAACAGAAAAGGAAAAAAGAGAGAAAGAAGAAGACACTGATACGTGGTAACACAGAGAGCATGTGCGGAGAAAAAAAGAGTGTCATTCATCGAGGAGCTCAAGTTTGCACGCTGTTGTGCTGCATGGCAAAGCAAATAAGAATCGGTGCTCCACCACCACCCACGCGCAAGTCCCACACCACAGCGGGTATGCGCGCACCGGTGTGCTTGCGTTCTCTCCCCCGCCTTTTGCCCTTTTACGCTGCGCTTCTCCTCTTTCGCATTCGATGGCCGCTCTCCGATCCAAGGCGATGGGCGACAACAGCAAAAGCAACAAGAAGCAACGGAGAACAAAGGGCATTCACTGTTTTCCTTTTGTGCCGTTCAAGAAACAACACCGTGGCTCGTTGCCGCTGCTGCTGAGGCACCTCCTTTAGCCAGGCCGAGAAACGAAAAAGAAGAAAAGGCCAATCAGCACACTTGCCTCATCTGCCGTAGAACAACAAAAAGAAGAAGTCGAAGAAAACGGACGAGGTTTGGACAGAAAAGACGAGAAACGAAGAAGAAACCGAAAGCGAAAAAAGGCTAAGCATTCGCACAGAAACGTGTATAGCGCGCAGGGAGAGTAGAGGAGAAAAAAATATATATAAACGGAAATCAACAGTAGTAAAAGTAATGTATGTTTTTCTTTATGTCTCTTTTTGGTGTTTTCTCTCTCTCTCCTCCCATTTATTTTTGTCTGATTAGTCCGAGTAAGATGTTAAGTTTTGTAAGAGATTAGTTTGTGCCGTCACCGTCGCCGCCGTGCGCGCGTGCGTGTACGGGTGCAACGCAGCGCTGCATCTTTCACCTCTCGGAACAACGCATCTTCCTGCTTTTGAGGGCACTGCTTTCTTTCTCCCCATTTTCCTGCTCTTGTCGCGTGCGGGCGACACATGTCTTCTTATGCAAATATATATGAGTATCCCGCTGAGGAAAAAGGGGAAAAGACCGGACATCGGAGGGGTAAAACAGGAGTGACGGGAAACAACCCACCACCGACACGACCCACAGACAAAGGAGACGGCAGCGCGTAATTCCAACGGAAGTGAAGGAATACGAGCCTGCACACCGCCATGACGCGCACACACGCATGAGGAAAAACAAAAAGGAAGCGAGGGAAAAGAAAAACGGAAACAAAAACAATCCAAAGGCATCAAGTGAGAAGCACCTTGCTGTGACGAAGGAATCATGAGCTCCATTCAACGAAAAGAAGCGGGAGGCACACTCACACCCGCACACAGTCAGCTCAGCACACAGGAAGACCAGAGATGGCCCACGCACCCACGCATAGACCATACGATCACACACCAGCGGCTCCTCGACATCTTTCCTCGCCCTACTTCTGAGAGGAGAAAAGGAAACAAAAAATGCCACCCGCGCCGGCGGTACGATCTCCTGCGGGGCCGTCGACCGCGAGCATCCGCTCGGCAAACAACAGAAGAAGGAGGAAAGAGGGGGAAAAAGCACGGAGAGCGCCGCGAGACCCGGCGAGCCGAAAGAGGAGAAAACGAAAAGAAGGGGAGGGGGACTTCACCAACTTACCGAGCGAAAGAAGAAGAAAAGAAGAGGAATTTGGAAAGGACGCAAGCTTGAACAACGACAGGTGGAGGGAAAATGCAGGTGAGTGGGGAGGGCAGCGTATGCGGCTTACGGTGTTACATTCCACAAACTGATGTTTTCTTTCACAAATATATGTGCTTTTCCCTCCATCCCCCCCCCCCTCCTCTCCCCTCTCTCCGTACACGTCTTCCTTCTCTGGTCGACTCAACCGCTTTCCTCTGCGTCGATCCTGCTGTCGTTTAGATGTCCCTTGCTGTGCAGCATCCCCTCTTCCATGTCACGCACGCAACGGCCCCTTTTCGGCATTGCAGCTCCCCTCCCCCTCCCTTGATTTCGCATGGCTTACGAGAGCAGCTTGGCGAACATGTCGTTGCCCTTGTCGTCCACAATGATGAAGGCGGGGAAGTCCACCACCTCAATCTTCCACACCGCCTCCATGCCGCACTCCGGGAAGGCGAGGCACTCCACCTTCGTGATGTTGTTCTTGGCGAGAATGGCGGCCGGGCCACCGATGCTGCCGAGGTAGAAGCCGCCGTGCTTCTTGCACGCGTCCGTCACCTGCTTGCTGCGGTTGCCCTTCGCCAGCGTGATGAAGCTGCCGCCGTTGGACATGAAGAGGTCGACGTAGGAGTCCATGCGGCCGGCCGTGGTCGGGCCGAAGGAGCCAGAGGCGTAGCCCTCCGGCGTCTTGGCGGGACCGGCGTAGTAGATGGGCGACGTCTTCATGTAGTCCGGCATCGGCTCCCCGTTGTCCAGCATCTCCTTGATCTTGGCGTGCGCGATATCGCGGGCCACGATCAGGGTGCCGTTCAGCATCACACGCGTGCCCACCGGGTACTGGCTCAGCTGCTTGCGCACCTCGTCGATGGGGCGGTGCAGGTCCACGTCGACCGCCGCGGCACTCATGTTCGTCGGTGCGATCTCCGGCAGGTACTGCGCCGGGTCCATCTCGAGCTGCTCCACGTGCACGCCGTCCTTGTCAATGCGGGCCAGCAGCTGGCGGTCGGCGCTGCACGACACGGCGAGGCCGACGGGGCACGAGGCACCGTGGCGGGGCAGGCGAATGACGCGGGCCTGGTGGGCGAAGTACTTTCCACCGAACTGCGCGCCGATCCCGCTCTTCTGCGCCACCTCCATCACGATCTTCTCCCACTCCGGGTCGCGGAAGGCGCGGCCGTACTTGTCGCCGGTGGTGGGGAGGGAGTCGTAGTAGCGGCAGCTCGCCAGCTTCACCGTCTTCATCGTCATCTCCGCGCTCGTGCCGCCGACGACGAGGGCGATGTGGTAAGGCGGGCAGGCCGCCGTGCCGAGCGTCTTCAGCTTCTCCTCCACAAACGCGCGCAGCGACTTGGGGTTCAGCAGGGCCTTGGTCTGCTGGTACAGGTAGGCTTTGTTGGCCGAGCCGCCGCCCTTGGCGATGAAGAGGAACTCGTAGGCGTTGCCGGGCACCGCCAGCAGGTCCAGCTGCGCCGGCAGGTTGTCGCCGGTGTTGCACTCCTTGAACATGTCCAAGGCGGCGGTCTGGCTGTAGCGCAGGTTGTGGTACTTGTAGGCGTTCCACACGCCCTTCGACAGGTACATCTCATCCTCGCCGCCGGTCCAGCAGAGCTCGCCGCGCTTGCCGAGGATGATGGCCGTGCCGGTATCCTGGCACGTCGGCAGCACGCGGCCCGCCGCCACGCACGCGTTCTTCAGCAGCGTCTCGGCGACGTAGCGGTCGTTGTCGGAGGCCTCGGGGTCCTCGATGGCGCGGCGCCACCCCTCCAGGTGGTCCTTGCGGAAGAAGTGGTGGATGTCGGTGTAGGCGCGGTGGGCGAGCACCGTCAGCGCCTCCGGGTAGACCTTCAGCACCTTGCGGCCAAAGACCTCCACCTCCTCGACGTACTTCTCGCTGCCCTCGATCTTGCTGTACTCGGTGTGCAGGTGGTGCGGGTCCTCCGGCTGGAAGATGGCGGAGAAGTGGAAGTCCTTGTTCACGGCCGACTCATCTTCAATATCCTTGATGCCGGCGCGGTGGCAGCCGATCTCGCACTGGTCGCAGAGAGACATGGTGAAGATAGTGTTACTTTTTGTTTTTAAAGCTAAGAGGCGAAGTAGACAAATAAAACTGTATTATAATCTTTGCTCTTTTTGATGGATAGGAAAGAAACAGCTGACACAGTAGAACGCGGAGACACAAACAGAATATAGATAAAAGCCAGTATACCTTGAGAGGAATCAGGACTCGTATCTTACTCGGGTGTGTGTTTTTGTGCTGACGATGGCAAATTGCTGGTTTATATGAAAATATACGAAAAAAGCGCAGATATATTTTTTTGAAGGGGCCAACAGAAAAGGAAAAAAGAGAGAAGTTATGGATTATGCTAAGGCACTGAAAGACAGTCGGGGTAGGGTAAATCTGTTGTGGACACAAGGCGTCAAGAAACGGGTTGCGGCAGTTTTTGTTTTGTTGTTGAGTGTAGGAGTGAACGAGGTGGAGAGAAGCGCGGACACACGTGAGCGGCAGAGCAGAGAGAGATGGGATTAGTAGAAGATGGGGAAGACAGTGTATGTATTTGTGGGGGAGGGGTGGGGAAGAAGGGAGCTCTCAGTTCCTCTGCGACGTCCGCCTTCATCCGGGTGGCTCGTCAGTGAACCACGTACAGGGACGGTGTTTTGGATGTGCACAAAGCGCGCCAGCGTCCTCCTGGCAGCACGTTCCCGAGGGATTCAGATCAATCTGCACTGGAGTCGTCTGCAGACACACCAGAAACAAACAATCAAAAAAAAACCAGTCCGTGTGTGGCGCTTTCGTTTCCGCTGCTTTTTTTCTCTTCTTTTTTGGAAGGGAAAACATATTGAGGGAACGCGACAACGGACCACCGTTCGGTGCCTGGCAGCGGTGCTCCACGATCCATACACATAACTTCGTCGCACCCCGCGCCGTGCCGCGTGAAGAGCGAGTGAGATAGAGACAGACAGAAGGAAAGCAAACACAGAAAATGCACAGATAAAAGACATGCACATCAGACAAACAGCAACAACAGAGGAGAAAAAGAAAAAATGACTTCGAGCGTGTTGCGCAACCTTACGTGTAAACCACGTATATATATAATACACCACAACATGGAAACCAGAAAGAAAGGGGGAAAGGTGAACGGAACCATATACGCTGCGGTATCGTTGAAGTACAGCTCTGCGTGTGTATAGATATATCGAGGCGCTCTTCCACAGCAATAACATCAAAGAAAAAACAAAACAAACAAAAAAAAAAGCAGCTATCAATCGCCATCACCACACATCAAGTGAAGATGCACTCAAATCACAATGAAAGAGGAGCACGCAGAACGACGTTGACGAAGCGCTTCCGTCAGCTCAGTGCCATCTTTTGCTACCTCGTCTTCTACTGATAGGAAACGAGGGAAAGCACGGGCAGACGCGTCCACAAGTAGTCCGCCGAGGCCGAGAGCGCAGCGAGATCCTGCAGGCGCCCCTCCATCTCTGCCCACAGCCGGCGGCCGTCCGTCCCGCGGGCTGCCTCACACGCCAGAGCCACCTCCCGCAGACACACCCGCACCCCTTTGTAGAGGCGCAGCGTCTCCTCTGTTACGGCACCGATGACGGCGGACATGGACTGCCCGCTCATCGAGTCAATCGCATCCATCGCGAGGTCGGTCGCACTCGCGATCATGCGACGCTCCCACTCCGCCGTGCAACGGTCCACCGCACGGGACGCCTGCGCCGCGTCGTTGATGTTGCTGGCACTGTTCAGCACCTGCGCCATCTCGGCATCGCACAGAGCACGCCGCAACTGCGTGTTCTCTTCGTCAGACTGTCTCACCTGCGCCATGGCGGCATCGCGGGTCGCCTTCGACTCCGCCAGAGCTGCTTCCAACATCGCCACGTCGCGCTTCAGTTTTTCCCGCTCGACGGCGCGTGGCCGCAGCATGTCATTCTCCAACGTGAGCACCGCCGACGTCTCCGTCACAAGCTGCGCGGCGGTCTCGGCCATCGGTGCCCCGTAGAGAGCCCAACTCTGCGAGATGAACGCACGGAGTTCCCCAAGGTCCGTCCGCAGCTTGTCGAGGCTGCTGTGGAACGTGTCACGGAGGTGCTGCTGGTTCTGCTCCGCCGCGCTCAGCGCTTCCTCGACGGACTTCGTCAGCGCGTCACCCTGGTCGCTTTTCAAGGCCGCCTGGATACTCTCCTCCACAGCGCTGGGTGCTTCCCCGCCATACGGTGTGGCGGGGAGCCCTTGCAGACTTCGGGCGAGGGCGGTAGAAAGGACGTTCGACTCCTGTTGCAGCTGCGCGAGTTGGGTGGCGAGCTCTGCTGCATCGCGCTTCTGCGAGTCCAGCTCCTCGGATATGCCATCGTTGACCGCGGCCAACTGCGAGTTCGCCTCCCGGTGCGACGCTAGATCAGCCTTCAGCGTCTTCACCTCCTTGTTCAGACCATCCAGCAGCATGTTGCTTTGCCGGCCACGTCGGTTAATATCTTCCTTCAGCGAGTCCCGCTCCAGCTTCAGCGAGTTTACCACGTCAGCGAGGAGGCGAAGACGCGTGCCGACCGTCACGTTGCGCAGGTCGTTCCGATAGCCCTTCAGCGCCTCACCGGACTCCACCAGTGCTTGCTTGAGGTCCTCTACCTGCGTCGTGAGCAGCGTCACGAGGGCCTCGCCGTACGTGGTCGACTGCCCGTCCTCCTCGGACGCCGCACGGCCCTCCAGCACCTGCAGCGTGCTGCGGCACGCGAGACGGAGGTTCTGCAAGTCACCGAGGCGGTCGCGAATATGCGAGCCCATGGAACGCTCCGACGGCCCGACGGTGCGGTGGCCCTTCTTTCCTTTAATCTCCTGCTGCAGGAGGCGCAGGCCCGCCTCGGGGGTGCCTTGGAACGCGGGCAGCGGCTTTTTCTTCGGCTTTAACGTGCGAGACATCGTCGAGGACACGGAACCGGCGAAGAGGGACTCCTCGTCGTCGTCGAAGGCACGGTTCAACCCAATTAGGAGCCGCGCCGACTCCTTCTTCACCTCCGCCAACTCGGCCATTTTGGCGCGAATTTGCGGAATGGCGTCGCCCAGTTTGAGCGGTTTCGCAGGGGCATCCGTGTCGGCGTCGCCGAATAGAAGGTGTTTGAGTTCGAGAATGGAGGTGCCGGTGTCTTTGCACACGGTCTCTAAACGTGCGGCAAGCATGTGACTATCCAGCTTCACGCCACCCGGTCCTGGAAGTGCACCGGCATCGCCCCCGTCGCCGCCGGCGGAGCTCTGACCCGCCGGCAGCGGCGCGTGATCGACTCGGTGCGGGCCATCACCGCCTGATGCGGCCCTCGCTGCCCTATTTCCGTGTAATCCATCCCCTTCTTTCACCCCATCGTCAACCGCGACCCCTTCAAGGGCAAGGATGCCGTGCTGCACCGACTCCGACAAATCCTGCAGACAGTTTGCCATGTCCTGCACATCCGCCACCAACGCCTGAACTTGCGCAGTCGCCGCCGCCACCGCTGCGTCGCTTGGCCCGGCGGAAGCACTCGTCTGTCGCGCGACAGACGTGGCGGAGCGCAGTTGCACCAGTGGACGTACCGAGTCCGCCACCTTCTGCAACGCCTCGAGCGCCTGGGCGACTTCCGACGACGAGGCGCGGACAGCCGGGCCCGCAACTGCCGGCTCAATCGTGGAGGCGGACAGCGTGTTTTGTTCCTCCGCGTTCTTTGGGGAAACGGTGGAAGGGGAGCGAGAGTGACCTCCGGTTGGATGCGTTGCCGCTGCGGCTGCTGCGGCTGCTGCTACTGAGGCCGCCGTCGGTGACCACGACTGCAGCCGCTTCAGCGCGATCAACGCGTCGGCGCAAAAGTGATCCTTCTCCTGTAGGAGCGTGCCGTTAATCACCAGCTGGGTGGCGGCCACCTGGTCGACGTGTGCCATGCGCTCATACAGGAGCACAAGTCTGTCGTGCAGCTCCGCCACCACCTCCCAGGTGGAGGGGTCGGCGGCAGTTCCGGCAGGCGGAGATGTCGCCGCGAGTGCTGCCTCCGCCGTCATGCTGGCTGCGGCGTCCGCCCCCGTCTCCCTCACGACCGCCACCGCCTCCACCGGCTCTCGGAGGCCGTGCACGGCGCAGTTCTCGCGCAGGTGCTCCTGCACCAGACGCTTGCCGGTCGGGTCGTTGCCGTCCAGCCTCAAAATATACTCCACGTACTCCGACGGGTCGCTGTCGTGCGTCAGCAGTGGAGGCGGCGCGTCAATGGCTTGCTGCAGCTTCAGCGAAGCACGCGGTGACAGCTGCTCTTCATCGCTGAAGCTGCGGGTGAGGAAGTGCAGCCGAGTAAGGCAGTCGCGCAGGACGTCGCGTAGGAAGACGCCGACGGCGTTATTCACGCGGTTCTCGCCGTCCATGAAAAGTAGATGCTGCTCCAAGTCTGCCCGCACCGCCGCGTGCGCCTCGATGGCTGCGTTGGCAGCCGCTAATTGGTCCTCCAACTCATGCTTGGCGGCGCCGCTCTCGGCCAGCTGCTTCGTCAAGTCCTCGAGTTGTTTCTGGAGCTCTTGTTGGCGCTCATTGCTGCTAGCTTGCTGTGCCGCTGCCGACTGAAGGTTTTTCTGGAGTGCCTCGGCGTTCGCGCTCAGTTTTCGTTTTTCCTCGTCGGCCGCTTGTTGGGCCTCTTTGGTCTTCTCCATCGCCTCGTCATGAAGTTGCCGCGCCACCTTCGCCGTCTCACGCTGTTCCTCGAGAGCTTTCAGCACTTCCTCATGCGCTGTCTTCTCTTCATGAAGGGAATCCTCCAGCTGCTTCTTTTCATCCTGCGCGTGGAGAAACTCTTCCTTCAACGCCTCGAGTTGCTGCTGCAGGTTCTGCTCGGTGTCGTTATGTCTGTCTGCCTCCTGACTACGTTGGTCCTCCGTGGCCGACACCTGTGCCACCGCGGCCTGTAGCTGCTCCGCTATCGCTGCCTGCGCGGTTTTGGCCTCCTCGAGCTGCTCCAGTAGATCTTGCGTGGCCAGCACGAGGGGCTTGCTCGCGCCGTCGCCGACGTTGTGGAGCACACGCGCTACGCGTTGAGCTGCGTCTTGGAGGGCCGCTACCATCTCCGGTACATGCGGTCTCGCCGCAGGTACGACGGAGCCGTTCGGCGCCTCCTCACCCTTCGCGGCGAGGTCGCCCGGCGGGGTCGCCGCCCCGTCTTTCTCTACGCCGACGGTGGCAGCGAGCAGGTCACGCGAGCTCCGCAGAAGGCCCTCCAGCTCACTCGTCAGCAGAGTCGACTGCGTGGCCATCTTGTTCAGCAGGTCCTCGCACAACTTCAGCAGCGCTGCCGGTTTGCCGTCTCCCTTCGCGGCGAGCTCCTCTGCGCAGCGTCGCGCGTCATCGAGCTCGTCGGCTTTCAGGGGGCCCTCATCGTCTTTTTCGTGAGGAAAGGAAACGGTGCGCCGCTTCCGTGCGGAGGTCGGTGATGCTGGCCGATGCGTCGCGTTGCGTGGCGCTGCCGTCGAAGATGCTGGTGTGGGCTGCCGCAACAACCGCGCCGCCACGTGAACCACCTTCATCACACCATCCAGCTTCGTCAGGTCACCGGCGTAGGCGTCCTCGAGGTCTTGGTTACGGTGCCACAGCCGCTCCAGCGCCTCACTAACCCGCTCCGACGCCTGCTGGCCGGACCAGAGAGACGTCAGCACGAGCACGACGACCATATCCTCGCAGAGGTTGCGCAGCGTCATCGCAATCGCGTTGGAGCGCTGCGCTCGCCCGTCTACTGTCTCTTCCGGCGGCGCGATGAAGTTGCTGTTCATCACGCCGGTGCCGCCGAGTGCGTCGATGGCGCGCAAGGCGGCGTCCTGCAGCTCCGCCACCTCATTCTTTGCCTGGCTTTCACTTCTGCCGAGCGTCTCCACCGTAGCCGCGATGTTTTTTGCATCCTCCAGCAGCAGCCGACGCAGGTCCAGACACTCCGACCGCGTCATCTCACGCGGAGAGCTCGGCGCACTCGGCGAGGGGGTGGAGGTGACGCTGGGCAGGCGCACCGGAGGCACCGAGTTGCTAATGATCGCAGCTGCCGCGCCGGACCGTGGGCTGTTGCTGCGGTCTGCGCGATGCGAGGAGCGTGTTGCGGACACGCTGCTGAGATCGTTGTCAGCGAGCCTTGACGGGCTGAAAGACGCGTCTCGCGACACATCCAGGTCGGAGTCTGCGAGGGAGTTGCCGGTGGCATCGAGCGACGGCAACGTGGAGGCAAAGACAAGGCGAGTTGCCTTGGCCGCGGCGACCAGGTCATCCCGCTGCTCCTTCACACGCGCGAAATCCTCCGCGTTCACCTCCAGGCGCCGGCGAACTGCCGCAATGGCGGCCACCATAGACGTCGGAGCAGCAGATGAGTCAGCCAGTTCTGCGAGGGCCGCCGTGGCGCCCTCGATGCTGCGTGCGAGCGCCAGCTGCGTTTCTTTTGAGTGCGGTGCACCGTTCACCGAGAAGCCGGCGACGGTGGACTCCAACGAGGGAGGCGGGGGCACGTCCGGGGCGGCACTCCCGTCGACGCCGTTCGTCAACGGGTCGCTCTTCCGCGTGGGAGACGCGGTGCCCCACTGACGCAGCAATTGCACGTTGGGGTCGCTGCTGCCCTTCATCTTCTCAATCGCCGCGCGCATCGACTCTCGCAGCTCGTCAAGTTCGGCCTGCTGTCGCTGCCGTGACCCGTCAAACTCGCCTTGCCGGGCATCCAATTCGCCCTGCAAGCGAGCCTGCACCTGCAGTGCCTCCGCCAGCTGATCACGCAGCGCCGCCGCTTCCTGAACAACCTTTTGAGATTCCTCCTGCAGTCTGCGAATGGTGTCTTCGTGTTCGTGAACTTCAAGGCTGTGCCGCTTAGCAGTGTTCGTGTGAGAGAGCTTCCACCACCGCAGCAGCGTACGAGTGCGCAGCCGTTCTCGGTTCAGCGCGATCAGTAGGTCTACGTTGGCGGTTGTGCGCTGCTTCGTTTGGCGCAGGTGGGTGCGCCACTTCGTAAAGTAGCGGCGCGCCAAGGCCAAGAAGTCCGCCTTGGAGCGCAGCGGCACGTCCTTGCCTATTTGAATGGCGCCGCGGTAGCTGCTCGACGTGCGAGCTTGGGTATAAGCGAGCCAGCGTAGGAAGAAGCGGCTGTAGTCCTGTCGCAACGTGCCGTGTTTCATCAATATAGCGCAACGATTCATGTGGCCTTGTAACTTGCGCGCACGTGTGGCGGCGACCCACACCACAAAGGCGCGACGTGTGTGAAGGAGTTCGTTGCTGCGGCAGAGAAGACGTCCGGCGTTCTTTTGCCGGTTCCGCTCCACCGCGTAGCCGTTGTGGTTGAGCGAGCTCGCATGCTGCCCGGCTGACTGTGCCGATGCGTCCATTGTGTTCGTCAATGTTAGGAGGGAAAGGGGGATGGGGGGAGGGGGAACGGGTAAACAATTGTGTCAACGAATAAAGCAATACAGCCAACTAACCACCACCACCAACAAAAAGGAGAGCAGGTCTACTATACAATGAAGCACTAATAGAATAAACAAAGCGATTCTGTTGTGTTTCGGCTTTTAAGCGCTGGCCCCACCGGTTCCCTCCGTCTGCGTGTACCCGTGCGATGCGGCTTCGAGTCAGTGTCTCAGGGAAAGAAATAAATGAGAAAAAAAAATGCCAGTTCCACGCTGCAATGCTAACAGTCACAAAACAAACAAAAAAAAAATATGAAAATATTTCAAGTTGTTAAGTCAAGCAGATTCGCTTTTCATCTCCGTGCGCTTTTACTCTACGTGTTCCGAACTCAGAATTTTGTAGTCGGGCTGGCAGCTAAAGCCAATGAGCATCTGTGAGCAGTAGTGGATATATGGTATTGTTTTGTAATATGTGCGAGTGTGTGTGTGTGTGTGTGCGTGTGCGTGTGTGTGTGTGTGCATGAACGAGGAGGAGGGGCATTGTATCCGCAAAGCAATTTGTGACAGTTAAGGAGTAGTGACGAAAAACAGAGAGAAAGAAAGAAAGAGAGGCGATAGCGGACGTGGATGTAGGCAACGACAGACATTTGTCAAGCTAGTTCTTTTTCCGATTAAATTAAAATAGAATAAAACGGTTGCCGTATGCGTTCGTGGTTCCGCAACCCTCTCCAGTCGCGCGCTTTGCAAACGTATGTGACGCCACTTGCACGAGGTGTGTTCACGGCACCCTCCGTGAGTGGAAAAGCAGTCCGATAACGCGTTGACGTAGACGTCGTTTCCTTTCTGCAATTCACAAATAACACGTTGAAAGAAGAGACCACTGCTCGTCGTTGAATGCAGGCGGATGCACATAAAGCGCCGAAAGACTCCACCGCGCTATTGTATGTGTGTGTGTTTTGTTTTCGAGTTCCCTGAGCTGCAGGGCAGAGCAGATGTGCGGCGACAGGCTATGACGCATACAAAACAGGAAAAGCGGCGATGAGGACGGCGAGGCAGCTGCCTGCATCCAGTCTGAGAAAAGAGCACCGTAACGCCTGCTTCGCCGAAAGCCACGCGTAACGCCCTTTGCTGCTGTGATGCGGCAAAGACAAACACAAATGAAAAACAAGAAAGAGTGGGGAAAAATATAAAATCAGAAGGATTGCAGAAAGACGAAGAGAAGAGGAAATAACACCAGCCGGAGGAAGGGTCTTGACAGAATATATAAACGAAAGAAAGAGAGAAAGAAAGCTCTGAAAAAACGTCCGTAGCGGTGGCAGTGCTCCATCCGCGCAGGGAGAAAGCAGAAACACCCGCAACACGGTGAAGGAGTTTTTGCTGTTGTTGTTGTTGTTACCGCTGTCGTTGTCTAACGGATGCTGAGCGCTCCAGCGATCGCCGGAATGTAGCGGTAGTTGTTGGTGGTGAGGATGTTACTCACACGCGGCACCGTGGCCTCCGCAAAGGCCACCCACTGCTTCTCGATGCGGTGCAGTACACGTTTCTCCGAGTTCAGTTCTGGCCACGGCGGCGTGGGGCCGTTTGGGTAGACGGGCGCGAAGAAGGCGCTCCTTCCATCCAAGTCGGTGCGGCAGTACAGGCGATCAGGGGCGTAGAGGTTGTACTGCGCCCGAATGAAAAAGATGAGTTGCCTCAAGCCTTGGAGGACGGCGCACGATGAGGAAGGAAGAGGGAGGAGAGCGGCGTCAGGCGCGGCGGGCGGCGGCAGGGCAGGAATATCCGAGCGCATCGCCTCACCTCCGTCGCGATCGTCGCTGCGGCCTCCAGTGCGCTCGCTTGAGGCGGGTGGCGGGTCGATGAGGCAGCCGCGCACGAGCAGTGAGACGGCCTGCTGCAGCACCAGGAGGTGAAAGTACTTCCATTCATCATCCTCCCCCTCACGCGTCGTTGAGGGCGGCATACCCCCGGCGGCATATTCGCTCACCTCAGGTGCTCCGCCGTCGTCGCTGTTGCCGCTGCTGCCGTCCTCTTCGTCTTCCTCCTCCCCGACGTGTAGGCGCAGGCCGTGGCGCGTCGGCACCCGCTCATCCAGCCGCACCGTGGGCAGCGCGTTGCCTTGTAGTCGATACACCGCGTCTCGCATAACCTGTGCTAGCAGGCGGATGTTCTCCATGCACGTCTGCGAAAGCGGCCAGTCGGGCACAGTGGACCTCGACTTGCCGTCGCGCAAGTGTCGCTCCTCCGCAAGCCGGTTGCTCTCGGCCGTCATGAAGCCCACGCACACCCGCACCACCCAGATGGCGGCTGTGCGCACCGACATGTGATGTGACATCACCATTTGTCCCAGCACACTGGGTAAAAAGTCCAGCGACGGCGGAGAGGCATCCGGCGTGTCGTCCATCGTACCTCCGCCGTGAAACCAACGCACAGTTTGCTGCGCTGCCGAGATGAGGAGGGCGGTGTAGGTCTGGGCTCCACGGTCGGCCATGGTTTGCGCGCGAAACGCAGGATCGACTCGACTCACTTGCAGAGGGTAACCAATGCGCAAGAAGTACTGCAGCATCAGCGCTGGCGGTACGTAGCAGGACCCGGTGGGATGATCCGGACAACACACCTCGCGCACCCGGCATGGCTCCCACTGCGCACAGGTGTCAAGCGCAGACGCGATCATCGGCACAAGCGAAGGAGCCACGACAGACTCACTTGCTGCCTCCTGCACTTCCTCTTGTGGCTGCTCTCTCCATGCGTTCCCTGGCGAGGCCACTCGTACGTCGCTCGTGGAGAAGGAGGGCGCCGTGGTCCCGTACTGCCGGCGGCAGCGGCGTAGGCCCCGGTACACCTGCACTGCCTTCGCCTCCCACGGCGCAAGAGAAAGAGGGCCGGTGCGAAGTTGCGGCTGTGGCGTCACTTGCGACTTGCGTGCGGTGAAGCGAGGCTGTGGCAGTGGTGGTGGCGCGGCACGCTGTGGCATCCGCTCTGCGCGAGCACTGTGTCCCTGCGAGGGTGTCCTGGCTCTGCTTCTGCTGTGACTGCCCGTGCTGTAGCTGCCGCGATGTACCGCGCCGTCCAGCGCCAGTTTCCAGTTGACGAAGTCCGGAGCTGGGTCATTCGAATCCTTGAGAGAGGCGGTGTTGGTGCCCAAGTACGGCTTGTGGACGTAAACGTTGCCGCGCATGCCTTTGAAAAGGAGAGGGGGAGGGAGGATGAGTGACAAATATATGTATAAATATATATATTGCTGGGTCTGAGTTTTGAGAAGCCTAGCGGGACGGAGGAAGGGTGATCGTTGACGCAAAAGGTTGCCCGCCAAAGCTTAAGTGCGTACGAGGAAACGGACAAGGGAAAGAGAAAAAAAAGGGGGAAAATGGAAAGAAAGCGAAAGAAGAAGGAACGCACACACAAGAATGACGCACATGAGACAGCCACATCAGCTGCAAAAACCAACAATGGTTCACTTTCCCGTGCAGGAAAGCGCTACCACAGCACCCGTAACACTAAGGGAGGAAATTCAAAAAAAAAAAACAATGGACCGAGTACCACGCTTAAATATATCTTTTAGGATACATATGTGAATAGCGACTGATTAGAAAACCCGGAGGAGGTACTCCGGTCAACCCATCAACAACGAGGAACAGCAAAAGTTCCTACAACAGGGAGGACACCATGGTTGGGGCACCTTTAGGCAAGCGCCAGTCGTTTCCCTGCTCATCCTTACCTTGATCCCTGGGTATACCGGGTGACAACACGCACCTCCATCGGCTCCTCCATCACGTCTGTACGTTGGTGCGCCAGCGAAAGAAGATGCACGGTGGCGGCAGGCGAAGACGCGGAGACAAAAAGACGCAGTCGTGGCAACGCGTGTTGATGTCGCACACGCGCCACGTGGCACAAATGGCGCCAACACTCCGCACAGGGAAAGATAGCGGCGGCGTCATCGCAGTTGAACAGTCCGTCTTCTCCTCCTTCGTTCTGGGCGCCCGCACGAACAGCGAGAACAAAGACGTCGGTGACGTCGGTGTAGGCACACCCGCTCGCCGCTACCGCACCGAGTGCGTTTTGCTCCGCACACCCCTTGAGGATCCCACGCAGCGTTGCCGCGTGCGGGTTTACGTGCTTGTGGAAGGCGTGATTGACCCCGGTGAAGACCTCCTCCTCAGTGCGTCCTTCCACCGTGCCAAGGCGGTATGTGTGCGTTTCATTTGAATTATCCAGCGAGAGCGCAGAGCCGGCACCGCTTTGCGGAGTTGGAAGATGCAAAGGTTGGGCGACCACACGACACATCACAAAGAGCCCCCGGTGTGGAACAGCGGAGGACGCACTGCGCGGTGGATCCCCGTTGGGCTGACTTTGGCTGGGTGGCGCAAAGGAGGGGAGTGGATTTCTGGAAACGCTGCTGTGCAAGCGACACGTGCCGCAGGGTCCTGCAATGTTGTGTTCGGTGGCTGGTCGGTGCGCGTGCGACGGAACGCGACAGCTGTGCCGTACACGACGCCGTAGCAGTCCTTCCAGCTGCGTCAGGTGCAGCTGCTTCTCATGCGGGAGTTGCTGAATAGCAGCCGAGTCAATCTGCACGTTGCGGTGCCGGCCCGGAGAGGTGACGGAGGTGCCAACATCGCGCCGCTTCTCGAGGGTTGAAACGGTGCTACTACTACCTCCAGAGAGCGCGTCGTTAGAGCTTGGCAAGAGAGACGGTTCCAAAAAACGTGGCTCCGGCTCAACAGCAGAGTGCTGCTGTTCGACCGCTATCGCTAAGGCGCTCGCCTGCCGACGTGCGTGATGTGTGGTCCAGGCAAGAGGTACGCAAAACACACGCATGCCCCATCGAGGAAGCATTGCCGTGTCTGACAGCGTGTCCTGCGGTCGTTTGAGCAGAACGAGAAAAGAGAAGAAAAGGGGGTAGATATGCGGAGGAAGTGTGCAAGGAGAAGTTGTGGGTGTGGATCCGCTCCCTGGAAAAAGAACAAACAAAATGATTTAAGACAAGTGGTCAATGCCGAAGTGGACCGGTCTGTCCTTTTGCGGACAGCGCTTTCCATCGTAGCCGGGGCAGACGGATGCATACAACTGCTACTATTATTTTTTGCACACGTCAGTGAAGCATTTCGAGTACAGGTGCTTTCCTTCTTTCCAGGACCTTTTGTAAGCATTATTGACCTGTGAGCTGTGCTTTCATCCGAGGCACAGTGACAAAGAGAAACGATCCCTTTGCGTGGATAAAATTGGAATGCACGAGAGTAGAACCGAGTTTGCGGTCCCCCCTCCTCTCCCTCGTCCTCGCACTCTCCATCAATCCGACGCCTCCACCTTCTTCCAGACCTTCGCGACGTAGAGGAAGCTGCTTGAAAAGGTCCGCGGCCAAAATCGACTCCCAACCGGCGTAGAAGTCAACGGTCCCGCTTCCGCCGGCGGATAATGACGGCGCATTCCTTCCTCTACCACACCATAGTCAGCCGCATGGTCGTTGAGCTGCTGTTGCAGCGCCTCCGCTGCTGACTCGCTCTCCATGCGAACACACGAAGAGACCGGCGCATTTTCCACGCACTCGCGATTGGGGGTACCACGCCCTTCGTGTGTGTACGAAAAGGCTGGCACCAATACAGCTTTCACCTTGACAGAGTTCGTTGCCCGCGCCGCCGGTGCGTTGACACGGCTGAGAAAGCGCCGCACAACAAGCTCGTTTTGTGAGAAGGCGTAGGAGCATGTGGAGTAGACTAAGGTGCCACCGGGCTTTAGCTGTTGATAACCGTTGTAGAGCAGCTCCGACTGCAGGTCGAACAAGGACGAAGAAGAATCGCTAGCCTCCGCTGGTGGCGTGCCGTCCACGCTTAAATTGAGGCGCTGCATGCGGTACTTATTTGTGAGCCCCCGCCCTTTTTCAATAACGGCGCTCGAGTTGCCGATGTCTAGCGGTGCCTTGCTGTCCTCCAGCTGGAGGTGCGCGACGGAGCCGTCGTGCGAGCACTCCGCATCCACCAATACACGATCAAACAGGCACTTCTCGGCAACCCCGCCTTGCTCGTGCGCTTCTATGTTCTCCTCCTCTTGCCTCCACACCGAAAGGGATGCCCGGGCTTCTGCAGGAGCATAGCCGACGTGCACCGCACCGGCAGAGCTGCCCGACGCACGTAGCGGTGACACCAGTCGTTGCACCGCCGCTGCTGGGGCCATATCGGCATCACACCTTCGCCGTTTCGTAGTGCTCTCCGACAGTCGCCGCAGCGCACGCCGCTCCCTCGCCGTGAGGCCGACGCCCACATCCACGGTGGCCGTCTCGGCCTCGTCCATCGATGCCATCGCGTCTGCCATTGTAAAGTACCGTCCGTCGCCCACAAACACGCAAACAGGGAGGGACGTCGCAGCACAGGAGGAGGTGCGCGCGCCTGTGCCGCACTGATGCTTCTTCAGCGTAGAGCGGCACATGTACACACGCAAGAGACTCACATCCACGCCTACCGCCAGGCCTCTTCCGCCTCGTGGAAGGTCCTTCTCACCCTCCCCCTCTTGACTGCTGACGGCGTCAGCGATAAGGCCCAGCTTCATGCCCGGCGCGCAGCAGAGGTCCAACACCCGCTCGCCCCTCCGCGGCCGCAGCGCTACGACTGCCGCGATGGAAGCCGCGTCCATGGCGACGAGGACGCCATCACGAAAGAGAAGACTGCCGCCTATTGGGTAGGACCAGGGGAGGGTCAAGACACCGCACGGCAGCCACGGCACAGACTGAACGGAGGCCAACGGCAGCCCGGTAAGATGGGCAACACCAAGGCGCAGGAGTGTGGATTTCGGAACAGCGGTGATGATGTGCGCTTTGGTGAACGCGGAAGAAGACAGCATTGGTGACTCGTTCTTTGCGTGTCCTGAAGGAGATTCAGAGCGAAGATGTAACTGTGCTTCACAGCCCAGCTGCCGCTCTTCACTTGTGAGCGGCGACGAGTCATCCGGCAAAGAGGAGAGCGTCCCAAGGCGCAACACACCTTCTGCACCGTCATCGAGGACTTGCGTCAGGCAGCGCGGGTTCACCCGCACGTAGCGCCGTCGCACCTCCTCTGTCAGCAACGCACGGGCATCTGCGAAGACCTCCGGCGGAATGCATCCCTGCCGGCAGTGCTCGATGAGCTCATCGGAGAAGGTCGATGGGTACTGCACCGGAGGTGACGTGTGGGATACGGCAGACTCATTCATCGCTGACCACGGCCATAAAGCTGTTTCATGAGAGTAAACAGCGATGAACTTGACAATTCTGAAAAAAAAAGGGAGGAGTGCGGAAGGTCGGCGAGGTGGAAAGCGTTGATGCTGAGTCAATGCACAGAATGATCCGGCGGTTTGCTCGTCCTTGATCGTTCTCTCCCCGTTGTAGGTGGTCGTTTTCGCGAATGATGTGCGAGTGAAGCTGCAGAGAGAGTGAGAGAGTCTCTCGCCCTTCCGCTTCCACTATCGTCAAGCAGAGCACAAAAAAAGTGCAGTGTGAAACGCCGGCAGAATATTATTTGGGTGTAAAACCAATGCAGCTCACAGCGTTCCTCGATGCTGGGTCAGCGGCTTCATGTTAAGCGCAGGCATATTTTCCCGCATGTTGATCTTAGGCGCCTGTGAAAAAAAAAAAGGGTAAGTGAGAAACAACAGCCACCGCAGGGAGTCCTCGGTGGGTGCCGTGCTGTGGAGCAACACGTAAAAGTGCAAAGACGACGAGAAGAACACCTTTAAATCCGTCGTGCTCCTTAAGTGAGGGGTAACACCTCTCTTCCGCGAGTGAGGAGCAGGGAGTTGACTCCGTGGGACGCAAGGTGTCTTTCTACACCACAGGTTTCGCGCCCTTTCGTTCTGCGCTCACGAAGGCTTTCGCTTCGAGGCGGCTGAGTTACTCCCCTTTTCGCTTGACAGCGGCGTGGCCGGGGGAGCAAGTTCCGTCAGCTGCTCCGGGTAGTGCACCCCGACCAACGGCACGCCTGCACGCACCTCATTCCAGTGATATACGGACGCCAGCTGCGACGGGTTGGAGGAGAGGACGTGCACCTCTGCATCGGGGTTCAGCGATTTCAGCATCGCTGCGACGGCCGTCACACGTTCCACGGAGGTGACACGCTGCGAAGAGACAAACACACTGGGCTGGCTCGCAGAAGACGGGCTGGTAGTGCGTTGAGAAGTCGCAGCAGCAGCAGCAGCAGCGAGGGCGTCGGCGGCACCCCCAGCAGTAGCTTTCGCTACCACAAGGTTTGCACCCTCAGCCCTGCCTTCCGATCGAATCATCATGTCCGCACCGAAGCCTCCAACGACGGCGTTGTCTCCCATATTTCTGAGGTCGAGCCCTTCCTCACCAGCCGGGGTGAGTCGGTCCAGTAGCGCTTTGCCGTATGCGGATGCTCTCCCCGACGGGGACGAAGAAGACGCGGAAGAAAGCAATTGACTTTCTTTACGTGGTGCTGTCTCCATCGCAGCCGGAGCGTCAAGTAGGTCGTGCTTCTCTGCCTCCGCTCGTAACGCACGCAGGGCATCGGGGCTGGACGGCCCGCCCTCGCTCAAATACGTGAGCGCCAGCAGCTGATGCGCAAAGGGCAGCACGCGCAGCATCCGCCATTCCTCACGCCGCAACAGCAGCCCGATGCGACGCAGGACCGTCTTCATGTAGCGGCCCTGCACGGAGTCGCCGTTGTCGCGGGCGCGGCGAGCGAGTAGGCGGACAGCCGCGAAGGGAATAAAGATCGAGTCATAGTGGTGGATGAGGGACTCAAAGGAGGACGAGAGCAGCACGTTGTGGTCCACCACGGCTACCCGGCCCTGCACCAGCCAGCGCTGGTCCAGCGAGCCCGTCGTCCCCAACTGCCGCGTCGCTGCCCCCACCACATCGCCGATCCTATCCTGAAACGACTCGTACACTAGCAGCGCGTCGTGCGGCCGTGGATGGGCCAGAAGAGCGTCCACTAATGCAATGCTCAGGGCGAGGGTGTGACTCACCGGGTTTCCGGCATCTGCGCGGTCTAGTCCGTACTCCCGCTCCGCAAACTGTGTTGCCTCGTGGTTGAGTTGCATACGAAACAGGTTCAGAAGCACACTGCGGTACATGGTGTCCGTGACCGGCATCCCTAGCGCGTGTGCGTCCGCCACGCAGCGAATGCAGTGGGACACGCTGTGCGGGTTCAGCTGCTGCACCACGCTCAACGTTTCTCCGCTGGGCTGAATGCTGCGCTGCTGCATTGCGTGGAAGAGCTGAATTCCCTTCTCCCAATTTCGGCCGCCCATCGTGGACAGCACGGCGTTGTAGTGCCCCGCCGTCAGCTCCACCTTTGCATCCAGCGCGTTCAAGATGGCAAGACTGTAGGACCAGCGGCCCGGCATCGTCGACTGCGCAACCAGCCGCAGCAGCTCCAAGTAGACCACGCCGTTCGGCTTCGTGCCGCTCTGCACGGCGCTCGAGAACACTTTCAACCCCGCCTGCCACGGGCCGTAGCGTCGGCACGCGTTCATGACGGCGTGCACGGCGAGCGGATCCAGCACCTGCTGATCCGCCCAGAGTCCCTCGCAATGCTGCATCGCCGCCTTCCAGTTCCCTGCGTTGCGGTAGGTGGACAGCAAGGCCCCGTGGAGCCGCTCGTTGACCTTTCCCTCCGCCACCGCGGCCTTCCAAAACTGCAGTGCCTTGCGTGTTTGCCGTTCGTCGTTGGCGTGGGCCATGAGGATGCAGTAGTGCTGTGCGGTAAGAGGCTGCTGCGCCTCGCGCAGTGTCTGAACGAGGACCTCCGTCCTGTCGAGACGACGCAAGGCGCGGTGCTGCTTCAACAGCGACACAACTTCATCGCGGCCGAGTTCGTTGACCCGCAGGGCATGCTTCACGGCAGCGGAGAGCTTCTCCGTCGGGGTTTGCGCCAGCACGGTTGTCACGCCGGGTTTGGCCTCGCTGACGTGGAGGACGGCATTCTTGCGTTTACCGTAGAGGAGACGTCCGATGTTCGGTTCTTTGCGATTTGCCGGCTTCAGCAGCGCAAAGGTGCGCCACATTATCGGACGTCCCTCAAGAAGAAAGGAAAAAGAAGAATAGAAGGGAACGCTCGCCACGGCAGCAGAATGAACGACCCTTCAGCTCGGTGATGTGTGGCCGCAGAAGTGAGGGCCTCCTCCCCGATGTTGCTGAAAGCAGGCGTTTGCAAGGACCAGCACAAGCAAAGAGAAGAAAAAAAAACGAAGGCACAGAGAAGAGAAGAGAGCCAAGATCGCATCATTAGTAAGAACAGCAAACACGCACGTGTTGTGCTTTCACAGTGGTGTGTGTTTGTGTATGTGTGTGCGCATGCGAAGACGCTAGAGAAAGCAAATAAACACTTTATCATGAGTAGTATTCGTGTTTTCTCCCTTCAGAACCTTTCCACAGCTCTTTCTTTCGTCCGCCGATAGAAGCAAGCCAGCGGCAGATAGCGCAGCGCAGTCATTCATCCATAGTGAAGACTTGTGCAAAGGCAACCCCCGGCTCCTCCTTTTCTCTTCCTTTTTTCAAAGGAAGATGAAGTTTGGGAAAGAAGCTGACGTGTTCCCGTTACTGGGCTACTGCCTCACACTATTCAGCAAAAGCACGCGCAGTCTTTTGAAGAAGAAATCCTTCATTTGGTTTACGTGTGATCTGAGAAGACGCAAACATACGGAGAAGCAAACAGCAATAATATCAGTTATAATAATAATGCCAAAGCAATAATAGTAGTAGTAGTAATAATAATCATGAAACAACCTCGCAATGAAATGGTACGCTGCATCAGCTAGCACGCATCGGCGTCATCACACCGAAAGCAAAGAGAAAGAGAGGTAAAGCTGCGTGCGTCACTCAACACATCGATCCACCGCTTCTCTCCCTCCCCTCCTCTCTGTGTATACGCAGAGGGGGGAACAAATCAAAAAGAGACGGTGGCTCATACCAAAACCCCGTACTCACACCAAAGCACAAAAAGAAACACCAGAAGCGAAGAGGAGCAAAGCCACACAGGTGAGAAGGGGGGAGGGGGAATACGATTTCTTCCATCGAGAGAGAGAGAGAGAGGCAACACCTCCATCCGCCGTGCGAAGCTGAAGAAAAAGAAAGTAAGAGGACGCGAGGGTCTTCCATCCAGCCTCGTTCAACGGGTCCGCGAGCAGTCAGAGAGAGAAAGAGAGAGGTCAGCCGCCTGGAGACACAACAGAAAAAGCCATCAAGGCAGAGTGGTGGGAAGGGGACGTAGGGCGCAGTACCAAAACATGCATCGTGTCTGGAAGCCCCCCTGCCCCTACACACACACACACACACACACACACACACACACACACACACAAATACGCGACTGAGAACAGGGGAAAAGACCCCCAACAACGAGGTCCGAAAGCAGTCCACTTCCTCGTACCAGACGACGGACCGTAGATGTATACAAGCACAGTGCGAACAATGGAAACACTTGTCTTGATGCTGCATTTTCAAAGGGATAGAAAAGAAAAAAGAACCTAGAAAAGGAGAGAGAAAAGAGGAATAATAATAATAGTTATCATAATGGTAATAGCGACAGCAGATAAGCCCAGAGAAGTCATGATAGTTTGCACAGAAGACACCCAAACGCCTAAATAATATATTTTTTTAAAGAGAGAAAAGTGCATTAGACCGAAGGTGACCTCTGCAACAATCTTCGCCACGCCTTACCCCCCCCCCCCCCTCCTACGAAAAAAACAACAACCCACCAGTACATCCACCTTTCAGACGATGGCAGCAAAAGATTGAAGATACGAATCATCAGAGCACACCACGGTAGACGAACGCAGGTACGATAGGCGGTCACCCCCTTTGCCCTTTATCTTCTGCGTTTCGCGCATTGCGTCTTCAGCTCAGCGTGCAATCCTCCTACCCCATTCAGAGCGCTCTTCGCCTTCCTTATTATTATTCTTATTATTTTCTTTTGAATGAGTTAGCTGAAATGTCAAGAGGTGCGTCCATCAATAATTGCAGTCGATGTGCAGGTGCGCAACGTGGGAGCTTCACTTCTACGTCGTCCCTCTCTTCCCTTCCACAGTGCCAGTGGGTGTTGCGTGTTGCAGCGAGCAATGGACAAAGAAGCGCGAAAGGAATCTCTCAGCCCACCAGCTTGATGAGAGCGTTGGAGATCAACAGCACCAAATCCATCCCAATCATGGTGTTTCGCATCACCTTCAGGTCCACCAAGTATCCCTTGTCGTGTCGCTCGTGAATGCGGAAGAGGTAGACCGACAGCACCACCGGCTTTGCCGGCGCCGGGGGCGAGGAAGGTGCGGACGTGCTGACCGACAACGCGCCCGCCTGCTGCGACGTCAGTGGGATCGGGGCCGAGCACGCCTCCACGGTGGATTCCAGCGGCGGCAGCCGCGCCGAGCTCGAGCTCGAACTGGCGATGGGCGTCTCGTAGGCGGCAGTCGCGCTTTCCACACCTGGCAAATCGCCAAAGTAGTTCCCGCGTGCCACCGGGCTGCTGCTGTGGTAGCCGCCGGGGCTGCTGCGTCCCCCTGCGCCAGGGCGGCGTGGGCGGGCGAGGTGTGGGTGCACGGAATCCTCGTCGCGCTGCGTGCTGCCGGCGATGTCGTCGCCCTCCGGGTCGTCGCTCGCCGTGCGCGACAGCACGGCGCCGCCAATGCGGATGGGCGCGGAGGAGGCGGCGGGCGCCACTGTCATGGCGCTGCACCGGGCGGGCTCCGTTGGGCTGCTCAGCTGCGCCATCGTCGTCCACGTCGCGGCCGTCGAACGGGCGAGCAGGCGAAAGGGCGAGGCGACCTTCCACTCCATCCCGAAGGCGCGCAGGACGTTGTAGATAGCCGTCAGCGCTTGCTCCGCGCGGGTGTCCGTCATAAGCCCCACCCGCCACCCAAAGTTGTTCTCCACGATGAACTGCTCCTCCTCGGCGGTGTACATGGAGTGTTTGCGGGCCACCGAGCCGACGCGAGGCTGATCGGTGAGGGTAGCGCCAAGCTGCAAGGCAGCCGTGCTGCCCCCTTGCAAACCTCCACGACGATAGCTGCCGCTGCTGGCATTACCGCTAAAGCCCGGCGCACTCATCAGACCACCGCCGCTGCCAACACCGCCACCCCCACCACCACCACGCAGGCTGCCGGTGACGTGCGACGAGGAGCCTACGCTGCCGCTGCCGATCAACGAGCTGGAGCGCACCTTCGAGGTGATGCGGAAGGAGCCGACGGCTAGGGCGCCATCCGTGTCGGTGCCGCCGCCGAAGCCGCCCACATCGCTGCCGGGCTTGCTGGCCCTGGCTGGATCACCAAAGGTGGCCACCGAGGCCGGCACAAAGCTGCCGGTGTTGTAGGCACTCTTGTTCGTCGCGGCGTCCGCCTCGTCGAGCAGCACCTCCATCGCGGGGCTCTGGGTGAGCATGAGACCCATGTTCAGCTCTCGCTCCATCGCTTTTGGCTGGAACTTCGTCTGCTGGGGACCAATGACGTGGTTCACGCCACGCGCGTCGTCGCCGGACATGCCCAGCTCCCGCACCTCCGCGGCAATCTCGCGCCGGCGACGGGCGTCCATGAGAATGTTGTAGGCGACGTAGGCGTTGCCGGCGCCGTGCTCGAGCTCCTTGCGCACGTCGCGCTCCCGCAGCCCCAGCCGCTTCGCCGTCTCGCTCACCAGGACGGAGATGATGCGGTCCTCCTTCACGCTAAAGATGGACTCGTTGTACGACAGCCGCATCGGCAGACGCTGGTTGAACCACGCGTTGTCGCGTATCTGCGGAATGGTCAGACGCACCAGCGGGTCCACGGTGAGGATTTGCTGAATCAACTCACGCGGCCCGGGTGGCATGTTGGGCGGGAAGGTGTACTTGCCTTTCTTGATTTTGCTGAAGAGGACGGGGATGCTGTCCTCGTCGAAGGGCAGACAACCGCACAGCAGGGCATAAAGGATGACCCCGCAGGACCACACGTCCACCTCGGGGCCGAAGTAAAGCTTGCCGGAGATGACCTCCGGCGCGGCGTAGTTCGGCGACCCGCACGACGTCGCAAGAAACTCGCCATCTTTCATGATGTTCGACAGGCCGAAGTCGATGAGCTTCACTTGCAGCCCGGTGCCGAGCAGGATGTTCTCCGGCTTCAAGTCACGATGCACCACGCGAAAGTGGTGGCAGTACTCGATGGCGCATACGATCTGCTGGAAGATGTACCGCGCCTCACTCTCGCGCACGCGGCCCTTTTGCACGATGTAGTCATACAGCTCACCGCCCTCCACGTACTCCATGATGAGGTACATGTCCGTCGGGGTCGAGATCACCTCGTAGAGGCGGCAAATGCTCGGGTGGGAGAAGAGTTGCAGAATTTCGATCTCGCGATGAATCTTCCGGTCCATGTTCGCCGTTCTCAACTTTTGCTTATTGAGGATTTTAATTGCGACAGGCTCGTTCGTTTGCTTGTGGCGGCCTTTTTTAACCTTGCCGAAGCTGCCGCGGCCAACGGTTTCGCCGATGACGTAGCTGCCGATTGTCTGCTCGGGGGACGTCATCGGGGCTGGAGCCGCGCCGGCACGCGATCGGTGGTAGCTGCCCTCTCGCGTCTGTTGATATTGTGCTTGCGCCATCGCTGTCGGTGGCCAACAAGAAAGTAAATGAGAAAGAGGCAGAACAGAACCGTCACGTGACGCTGAAACCCGGTAACCGCCGCCAACGCAATCTCAGCAATAACAACAAGGGTAGAAGTGTGCGATTGCTGGGGCGGGAGGCGCACCGGAGGCTTAATGGCGAAGGAACAGGGAAGAACAAGATAACACAGAAAAAAAAAACGTAAAAACAGAGAACAAAACGAAATAAAGGAAATCACCTGCGTCACATCCACCGAGGTATCACAGAGAACAAAACACACACGGGGATAAATATATATATAGCGAGAGAGAGGGAGAAAGAGAGATGGAAAGAAATTCTAACGGAAAAGGTAATTCACGTAACCTCCAGTGTGTGCCTCAATGAATAGCAAGTCTTCTTTTTCTTTTAAGGAGAATCAAAGAAGAAAAGAAACACGCACCACGAAAAGCGCAAAGAGAATTAATAGGTAAGGTACAACAAGGAGTTCTTTTGGCTGTTGGGGAACAAAAGTGTTAGTCACAAAGAAAAAAACCCTGGAAAAGAGGCGGGATGATGTGGGACGTTGTCCATAAGCTGAAAGACGGAAATGGTGTTTAACGACGAAGAGTAAACAAATAGCGGAGCAAATAGTCGTCCCAACAACAAGTAAAAAACACAAAAAAAACGAGCGATACGTGAGAAGGGAAAAAGAGAAACACACGCGCAAACAAACAAAAAACCACAAACGATAACGCTCTCTTCGACACGCGGCCGCACTCAATTCTCTGCTTGGATTTTCTTGTTTTTGTTCTGCTTTTGCTGATTTTCTGTAGTTTTTGCAAGCCGTAGACACGGCTATCTGAGAAGTACACGGGGGCAGTGTATAGAACACTGTGCAAACAGGTGCTTTATATCTCCGTTTCAGCTTTTCCGCGCAGCTTTCTCGGGTGTTTTCAATGAAGCAACTTCTTCTTAAATATATATATCCAGAAGAGCGTATTTAGATTTTTAAATGAAAGATATGTGAGACGCCTGTTTTCTTCACCTTTTTCTCTTTTTGTTTGCACAGTACGGTATTACTACCGGGCCTGAAATGGAAGAGACGAAAACCCAACTCCCGCTTCCTCCGCAGAGCGAATTTACGCGTGTTATGGTTAATGCGTGTGTGTGAGTAAAGGGAAAGGGGGGGGGGGAGGGGGAGTCAGCCAGATATAAGAGGAGCGAATTGCCAGGAAAGAAAAAGAAAGAAAAAAGGGAAAGAAGGTGAAAGAAAAATCACCCTGACCGAGTGGGGTGTCCGCCGGTGTACAGTACTGGTAATACTCGTATATAATATGTATATACAAACGCACCCACAAGGGAGATTCACCTAAGTTGCTACAGATGCTTTACCCTCTTTTCCACGCAGAAGAGGAAACGGAGGGAGACGAGGTTGGTAAGAAACGGCATGAACGGGGGAGGGGGAGGGGGGAGAGAGAAGACACGGAGGTGGAGAAGGGGTGAGGCATGATACTGATGCAGAACACACACACACACAAAGCCATGCGGCCCGGTGAAGCACCGCTGCAAAATGCTGAAGGGCAGCGAAGCCTTCACTTCTACGCATTTCGCCTTCCTTCTTCCTTTACTTTTTGGGCCAGTAAGCCCGACACGCCAAGGAAAAAACCAATGTGGACGTTGCATCACAACGCACCGTTGCTGGCAGCGGGAGGGGGGGGGGAACGCTGTAAACACCAAGTCGTTGCCTGCGATGAACCAAGCAAACTGCGTGGTTGCACCCCTTACTGCTGTGTCGAACATTGAGTTGGAAACAGGGCTGATACCCCACGCATCAATGGAAAAAAAAAACCGAAGAAGAGAACGCAAAGTCGCAACAAGCGTGCACGCACTCATTATGTGCCGCCGCACCGAAACAGTTTATAGGATAAAAAACGAAAAGAAAAAAGGGAGACCACACCGCGAAGGTGCGCATCACGCAATCATCACAGCCTACAAGAACAACATCAAGAAAAAAAAAATGCATAACGACATCCAAAGTAGCAGCGAAACAGCCGCTGCACCGTTTCGTCCAGTCGCCTAACTCATCATCCTCGTGAGAAGTAGAGGGACATGCGAAGAGCAACTTTGTATAATACGTGTCCGGCAAAACGAAAAAAAAGGACGCTGTTGAAGTCAGCCAGTTCAGCCGCACCGGCTTTATTGGGAGGGGAGCGAGTCCGTCTGTCTTACTTCTTCTTCGCGCCGGGGCTGACGGTTGGGGCAGCACAGAGCGTGCACCGCGGGGCGACACAGTCGGTGAGCAAGTGCGGCCCGATCACGTCCGCCATCTTCGGTGTCTCCTCCATTCGTCCGCGCACCACGAGCGATACCACCTTCTCCGGACGTAGCCGCATCAACATGATGTCCAGCACCACGTAGAAGTCCGTCAGCATCGTGGAGAGCGGGAGTGGCATCGACTCCACGGTGACCTCCACGGTGTGTGATGCGAGTTCCTCCTCCTCCCGGTCCGGCCGGCCGCCGCGGCCGGGGAAGCGGCGCACGCTCGTAATGACTGGGTGGGATAGTGCCACCCCGCCACTCAGCTTGTGTCGCGCGTACAGCCAGTATAAAATGGGGTGCACCGGCACATGCAGAGACAAGTAGGCGATGGACTCCAAGCACGTCTCCATGGCCCAGATGGTGGTGAGCACGAAGGAGAAGTACAGGTAGTAAACCGCTAACGTGGGAAAGAGAAACATGATGATGACGAACAAGAAGGTGGCCGCCAGCATCTGGTCCGTCTCGAAGTGGTAGGCGTCGTATCGCTTGCGGAGGGGGTTATACTTGACACCGTGGAACTGGCGAAACAAGTTCCGGAGCAGCACCCGCGTAAAGCGGTAGGGAAAGGCCACAGCGTGGTAGAGAAAGCGCAGGTGCAAGGAGACGAGTCCGGTGAGGTCCGACACGAAGGCAGCGGCAGTGCTGCAGCCCAAAAGGCAGAAGATGCGCAGATGGAACGCCGTCCCGACCCAGTCGTAGATCACCTTTAGCTGGTCCTCCGACTCCGGGTACGCCCAGGAGGTGGGCGGCAAGGAGGAGATGGTGCTGTTAAACTGGGCCGCAGCAACACCCGACGTCGACTGGAACGAGACGAGGCTGGGCAGCGTGGCGGGCGACCAGCTCAACAGCGCATCCCACCAATCTAGCACACACTTGGCAAAGAAGCACAGCGCCATGTTCAGGTCCTCGTTCACTTTCAGACCAGCCGGGTAGCCGTCGAACCAGTCCATGTAGGACGCGTGCACCTCGTACAGCCAGTACCGGGTGAGGTACTGCGAGGCGACGTACAGGGACGGGCCCCAGGCAGACACGCACAGGTACACGACAACGCCCAGAAGCAGGTCGACCGCGCAGCGTGAGATGTAATCGAAGATGCACACGTAGCGGTGCTCCGGCGAGGTGGAGAGTTGGTGCGGCAGCACGGGATGCAGCCCGCACGCGTGGCTCGCGAAGCTCACGACGCACAGAAAGTGTGCAAACTCCGACACGCGGTAGAGCAGCACCTCTGCGGTCTTGCTAAAGCGCAGATACCGCAGTGCCCCGGCGACGTAGATGAACAGAAAATTCACCACCAGCCTCAACACCCCCGTCAGCGGCTCCACCACGTCTCCTCTTACGTAGAGATGCGGCCGCTCCTTCTGAATCATGCGGCGGACGTTGCGGCCGGCACGCATCGTGGCTAAGAAAACGCTCATCTCTGCTCTGTCCGCCGTAGAGGGGAAGTCGAGGCGGGGCGGCACACCAGCGGGCGGCGGCGGCGGTGGCGGTGGCGGTGGTGGCTGCTGCGTGCGGGTGGCGGACACCGGCAGCGACTTGTCCTCCTGCGAATGCGTGCTGTGCTCGCCGCGGCGGCTGCCATTGGCGCCGTAGTGCTCGCCCTCCGAGTCGCTGTTCACCCCTACGCGGCCGCGCACAGCACCACTACCACCACCACTATTACTCGTGTTGCCGCCCGCGACGGAGAGCTCCGCGTCGGACTGCACGGCGCTGCCGTCGAGCGCGGTGGTCACGCTCTCGCGCCGGTTGTGGCTACGATCGAGCTCGGCGGAAAACGATGTCTCCTTCGCCAAGGACTCCGCGAAGGTCTGCTCAGAGTGCAGGCTGGCGTTGGGGTTGTACGAGATGCTGCTGTTGCGCAGTCGCTCCGCCGCCGCCTTGTCGCGGTCTGCGAGGAGGAAGCTGTCCTCCGCCGCCAGCACGATGGAGTCGTTTAAGTTGCTGGAGTTGGGTCGTCGCGGTTGAGTTCGTTGCAGCACGCGCGGCTCCGCCTCTTTACACATGACCGGTGGGAGCAAGACGCCTTCTAAGTTGGAGGCGGCGCCGGGAGCGCAGATCGGCGCGATGCCGCGCTGCAATTGCCGCACACCCGACACACCGTAGAGGGCAGTGGCGGAGAAGAGCGACGGGCGAGTCGAGAGCACCTTCGCGGGGTCGCAGCGGACGACGTGGAGTTGGCAGGGCTGCACGCGAGCGCCGCAGCACCACAGCTCCCCCAGCACCGGGCCCTCCAACAACTCCAACCACAAGTAGCTCTCCTTGCGCGCGCGACGGATGTCCTCCTCATCGGCGAGCGCGTTGGCGTTGAAGCTGGAGAGGGTACTATTGGGACGCACGCAGCCCAAAATGTTCAAATTGCGGTACGGCATCTCCGCGAGGTGGCCGTGAAAGTTTTGCAGCCCGCTGCGAATTTTCTGCAGCTCCACGGTAGCCCGCTGCAGCGTGCAGTTGCGCAGGAACCAGGCGACGATGATGTAGAGGCTGCGGTCGTTCCACCCAATCACCCACGCGATGGACTCACTCGGGTCGAGGACCGGTTCGCTCGGCAGCGCCGGCCACACCAGCATGCAGATCTCCGTCGTCGAGGAGAGCGGCATTATCACTATTATTATTAATTTTTTTTTTGGCTGTTGTGGGTGTGGAGTTGGTGCTGTGCCTAAAACGAAGTAGCGGTGCGCAGAGTGCACACAGCAGCAGCGAAAAACAAGCAGACACTTTCCCCCACTTGCTCAGGCAATGATGTTCGATGTACAAAGCTGGGAAGACACGCGCACACTGGAAACAAAATTGAATGTGTGAAGGGTGCGGGAGAGAAGAGGAATGCAGCAGAACGCGAAATTAAAAGGAGCCCAAATCCATCAGAAAAAACTAAAAAGTTCTACCAGCGCATTGCATTATCTGTCGAGCAACATCGAATGACATCGATGTTCAAAATCGCCATGGAATAGCGCGTTGCGGCTTTTGAGACGGCCCACGCTAAGCTGCCGTACTCGACGTTGCTTTGGTGTGATCCACGTATCGTTGATTTCCCTGAGCGTGGTTTAGGTTGCCAGGCAGAAGGGAGCAAAACACTCTTTTAAAAACTCAAGGGAGAAGTGGAAAGCTGAATTAATTGACCCTGCGAAGCGTCCTACTGAAGAAGACGCAGTCGCGAACGATGGCGCACGTCTACGACTCGCCAAAGCCGAAGCCGGAGTAGAAGGGATTATCCTCCAGCACTGCGTTTGTCGACGTCGTGGGTGGAGTGGGGAGGACCGGGGGAGCACCAGCGGCATGCGGCTGCACACCTCTCACGTTGGGGTTTCCACCCAAGATGGGTGGAAGTTCCGCAACTCCGACGCCGAGGACGCCAGAAGGGTCGCCGAGGACGCTGAGGTGTCTCTCCTCTTGAGGCGGGAGCAGCACCGGCTCCTCGTCTGCAGCAGCCTCCGCGGCAACCGCAGCGGCCGCATCCGCACGGCTGACCTCTTCGTCTGCCGCCACGTCTTCGCCTGGAGTATCGCCTTCGACAAGTGGAGAGGTGCTGCTGGCGGAACCTGATGCGGTGCCTGCGTCTTCCGTTCGCGTGGTGGTGGCCTCCTCGTTGGGTGACGCCTCCTCTGCCTGTCGGGCATCATCGTCATCGTCGCGGGTCGCCTCCTCCGCCTCCGACTCTTCTCGCACCTGGCCCTCTTCGTCACCGTCGCCTTCCGGCGCGTCGTGCAGCTCAGCGGACGTGGGATTGCGATACTCCTCGTCTTCCTCTTCTCCTCCGCCGGTTTCCCCCGTGCCGGAGTTCGCTTCATCTGCGTCTTCTGCTGCCGCTGCCGCCTCCTTGTACTTGTCCTCTTCATACGGAATTGCCTCTGCATGTTCATCACCGCCTCTCCCTTCCTCTTTCATTCCAGTGTACGCTGCAGCTGTTCGTACCCCTCCGTCATCTTCATCTTCTTCGTGCTTTACAATGACAGACTCCAGCGTCATCAACAAGAGTTTTCGCGTCTCTTCCACGAGTGCTGCCCACTTCGCATCTTCCGCCGCCAGCGTTGTTCTGCGCCCGCTGCTCTCCGCCTCGAACACCGACCTCCTCGCACGCAAAAACACCAGCTCCGCCTCTAGCGACTGCACCTCTCTGTGTGCCCCCTGCACCGCCGTCTCGAGCGCACGTCTCTCGCTGCCCGTTCGCCGCTCGAGCAGTTGCCGCTGCTCCCCTATTTGCGAGACGAGAGTGGCGGCACGGCCGGACTGCGCGGCGTGCTCGACCAGCTGCCCCTTCAACGTTTTTACATCCGCCCGTGCCTTGTCCAGTAACGCGGGGACATCCGCCATGGAGTACTGCGCGTACTGCTCCATGCTCGCCTGCTTCGCCGCCACACTGGATCGCAGCGTCTCCGTGTCCGCGCGCAGCGCCTGCTGCCACTCGGCCGACACCGCGCCCATCGCTGCTTGTAGAGCATCGGCGTGCTGCGGAGCTTGCGGGAGGCGGATGCGTGAAAGAGTCACATCATCCATGCGAAGAAGCGCATCGAAGGGGTCCGCCGTCTCCTGTTGCTGCAACGCAGCGGGACGAGCGGCATCCGCGCTGTCACGACCGCTGCAAAGAAAATGCACGGCGCTCTCCAACGCGGGGGTGGTGCGGGTCCCATTCGTGCTGCTCGCGTACGCCTCGTCAGCCAACTGCAGCAGCCGCACGAGGAGGGCGACTTCACGCTTCACCTGCAGCAAAGGCGCAGTGCACTGCGTACGCATCTGCGTGAGCGCCGCATTCACTTCGGCGAGAATGCGGCTCTCTGCGGTGCTCAGCACGTCGAGGATGTGCTGTTCCATTTCTAGAAGAGAGGAGCGTTCTTTGACACCGCCGAGACTCTCGGCATCGCGGTTACCGCCTGCGTTCGTGCAGCACCGACGCAGCAGGAGCTCGGCGGTGCGTGGCCACGCCTCGTCTCGTGCACTGCTGCCCCACGTCGTCTCCACCACCGCGTCCGTCACCCGCTGCCAGTGCTTGGCGTTTTCCATCAGCAGGGAGGTGATGGAGTTGACACGGGTCTGCACGCTCTCCAGCAACGCCAGCGCATGCACGCGAGGGGTGTACGACGCGGTCGGGGAGCCGAGCGACGGCGGTGTGGGGGAGGAGGGGGGTGGGGGCGCTTCGACGAGCGAAAACTCTGTGTGCTCTGCATCTCCTCTTCCATCATTCTCGTGTTCGACGTTTAACGCCGCACCACCTTCGACGGTCTCGGCAGTTCCCACTGGAGGCAGCGCCGCCAAGCGCACCACACGCGCCAAGCCATCGTACGTGCTCGCGCGCAGGTTGTCCTGCAGCGTCTCGACAAGTCGTCGCACATCAGCACCGTCACCGTCATCGTCGCCGTCAGCGGCTATCGTGCGCACCGCCAGCGCCTCCAGTTGCGCCATCCATTCCACACCAAACTCGCGCCGAGCATTCTTTTTCAGAAACAACAGCTCGCGCCAGAGGCGGTCCCGCAGGACTTCCCGCCGCGCACAGTCGTCGGCGGCGGCCTTCATCTTCTCGACGGTGACTTCGGCCGGGGGAGAGGAAAAGGAGACGGCAGGTGCACCGTCAACGGAGGTGACATCCACAGCGTGCTCCGCCTCCCGCAGGAGGGCAACGGTCAAGGCGTTCTGCAGCTCCTGACGGCGACGCAGCAGCAGCTTGCGCAGCGCCATCACACGCATCTCTGCCACGGTCACCGGGGAGTAGATGTCACGCATATCGCGTGCCTGCTGTGCGTGCGCCGCGTAGAGACCCCACTCGACGGTTTTGGCGCGGCTGCGCTGCAACGCCGCTTCGAGCTTCGCCTCGCTTTGCGTGAGGCACTGCAGTTCGCGCAGAAGCTGCTGCGATTGCCGGCCGAGTTGGGTCAGGTGCGCCGCTACAACTGCCATGTTTGTGCGACAGACAGGGTCTTGAAAAAGCGTGTGTACCTTGGCTAGTGTGCCGCCCAGGGTTGTCAGGTTGGAGCTGTGCTTTTGCCAGCTGACAATGGATGGGGACAGCGGAAGAGACGACAGATCATCATCCGCCGCCGCAGCAGTAGCACCTTCTTCACCTTCCGTAGTCGTCAAGCCCACAGAGGTGAAAACAACACCGGCGTCCTCGCACAGCTGCGCGGCAATTCCTTCCGCCTTTTCATGCATCGCTGCGCTGTATTCTACGTCCTGCTGTACGGCGTGCGCGTGGTTCTTCAGCTGCGCTGTGGCGTCGGCGAGTTGCCGCTGCCGCTGCTGTGCACGCTCCGCGCGATACGCAAAACACGAGATGCGCGCGTCCCTCTCCACAATGTGCTTCACGGCATCGGAGGAAGTCAACGGTTCCGGTGCGGCGTCGCCCACCTGCTCCTTGTCCCTCATATCGCTATGATTAATAGCAGACGTTTGCGGACGTAAACGTGCCGCGAGAAACACTTGTTGTTGCTGCACAACACGCGCCAGCAGCTGTGCTTCCCGCCGCGCCATCCGTAGCGCAAAGTCTTGCTGACGACCTCGCTGGTCTTCTTGCGTCTCCATGTCTGCCACACGGAAGAGAAGGCTGCGATACTCCGCGGCGTAGCCCTCATCTTCGTCCCCGTCCCCATCTCCTTCTTCCTCCTCCTCCGTTGCTCCCTCCTGATCCTCTGCTGGTGCTCGTTGCACATGGACTTCGGCGAGGACGGCGTGGGGCGCCTCTGTGTCTGCCACAGCGCTATCTAGCGAGGCCTCGGTCGCCTCACTCCGCGCCGGCGCGGGCTCGGGATTGATCAACGCCTCGTCACCGGCGCGAGGGTTGGGATCCATCGTAACGTTCTCTGGCCTCGAAGAAAAATGATTCTGGCGAACGGTGCGGTTCTATTTTTGCTGTTTCCAACTGCTGTGTGTGTGTGAGCGGGTATGCCAGACTGACCTAGTTGGTAAACAATCGCCGCCACGCAAACCTCGACGCTTGACAGCGTAGCACCTCACGTGTGTACGCGAGGAAATACCAGCGGATCCTTTGAAAGGGAAGGAGAAAGAAGGGGAGAAAGTGCAGAAGAAAAAGCGACGACGAACGTTGAGCTTCCTTGGCGCCGGCGATGAGGATGCGTAGAGCAATACGGCGCAAAAGAGATGCCGGAACACATGAGACGTTACACTCCCTATGTAGGAAGTTGCTTCTGTCGGTGCGGACCCGACCGCACGAGAGCACGCGCGCGCATCAGCAATGGGGGTTCGCCACGGCCTTTTTTTTCTTTGATAGTATTCCTTTTGTAAAGCATTTACTCTGGACCACAGCGACATCACAGTCGAAAGATGGGTTACGCTCCTCTCCTCGTGGGGAGAGAAGTCAAATGACAGCAAAGGAGTTCAAAAAATAAAAATAGAAAGCCAAGAGAACGAGCGAGCGTTGTACGAGAAAGACTTTCAAAAAACAACGGCGAGCCACACCCACACGCAGTTCGGCTCCCCTTTTTGAAGTATAAGAGAACAACGAAGAAAAGAGAGCGTAATCGGTGACGCGTGAAACCGCAAACGCTACGTACGGCGCGTGTTCACCGACACGCACACACGACGACAACGGAAAAAAGAAAGGCTGAGCAGAGATACAAAAGAAGATGAGCAAATAAATCAGCAAAAAGAGGAAAAACATCTTCTGATGTCTTCGCAACGGACTCAGCAATGAAGAAAGAAAAAGAGACCAGATGTGCACTGCATGAAAAGAATGGCGCGCTGAAGAAAAAGCGAAGGAAGGGGGAGGGGGGAGGGGAAGAGAGAGAGAAAGAAAGGTTTCATCCAGGCCACAAAGTTGACCGGTGCGTACGCACGGAAGCATCACCGCCTTCAGAAAAAAGAAGAAATGAACAACACGAAAATGGTGACACTCGTCCACGCATGCGCCACTCAGCCACCACCGAAGCTCGATGGAAAGAATTACACATAAAAGTATTTAAATAGAAAGTGCGTAAATCGGCACACTTGTTTTTTGGGGTTTCCCGACGCGCCAGGGGAGAAGAATAATAATAAAACTGAAGAAAGAAGAAAAAAGTTGTGTTCACATTCGAATCGTGATGAACGTTAGTGTGGAAGGGAAGCTTCCGCATGCGTGCTAAATGCGCACGCGGCGTACCTGTCCAGACCCTGAATAATCGACGAGATATAAAAGTTCGGTGTCCGTTGTGAAGCTGACAAGGAGGGGGGAAAGGAAAAATTAAAAAAAAGAAAAAAAGGACTTGACCGACGCTCTCCGCCCTCCGCACGAGAGCAAGATGGCGTTGAGGACGTTCGTCTCATTGCAGGCTACGTTGTTGCGTACACACAAGTGGTGGCGCTTTCCTGTTAATGCTCGCCTACTAAAAATTTGACAGGCGAGAAGGTCTACAAGAAAAGAAAGGACGTTGAGGAAGAGAAACGAAAAAAACAACACTCCCAGGCGTATCAGAGAAAGATAAGAGAGTGAACAGCAACAGCAAGGAAAAGAGAGAGAGAACGGTTTCAATGATAAAGGCAGGACCCAAAACAATAATGAAGATAGAGCAAACGAACAAGCCACAACACGAAAGAAAAATGCCGAACAGAGTCGACCAAAAAACAACGCAGACTCGCAGTACAAATTCTGTTTTGTCATCTCTGGAAAAGCAGAAGGCAAAGAAACAGGAGAGAAGGAAAATAAAGTGATGCAGCCCCATCACGGTCTTTCGGTGATGGGCGAACAGCACAAGCGGCTCACGCAGTTGGTGGCCCGCAGCCCTCCACTATCGTTTCTTTGTGTTCTTCATCCTCCCGTTTTTTGTATATCCATCAGGAGGGCGTGGTCAAAACTCGCCGCGTCACTCCTGCGCTGCGTCGTCCGCCACCTCCATGCCGGGGACTTTCGGTGTTTGCTGCCGCAGAATCGATTGAAAGAAGAGGTCATTATCCTCCAATGCCTTCTTGGCCAGTTGCTGGCGGTGCGGTACCCCGACGTCGATGATCGCACGCTTCGTCCCGCGGCATGTACAGCAGCTCGCCCCGGCCTCGCCGACTCGTGTAGCGGTACTGTTGTTGTGACTCGAGCTGCTTCTGCTGCCGCCAGTGCTGTTTGCACGCGCCTCCTTCCAGCGAGCCTCGACACGCTTCCCGGGTTGGGTGGGCGGTAGCGGTGCCGAGGGCGGGCGGGGGGTGCTGGCGGCGCTGGCAGGCACCTCGACTTGCCCCGACACGAGATGCTGCCGCCGCGCCGGTGACCGCAGCGCGACGCTGCCGTGGCTCGTCTCCCAGTTGTGCGAGACGTAAATGCTCGGTGGGTGGAAGGCGACGTGCGCCGGGCAGTAGAAGACGCTGTCAGCGGAGGTGGACAAGGTCAGGGCAGTGGTGGTGCTCGAGGTGAGGTGCGGCCCACTGGCGCTGGCGCTGGTCGGCGACAGCCGGTCCTCGTCGCTGGCCGAGTGCTTGTCGGTTGCCGCGGTGGGAAGCACCGTCGGCAGCGGCGTCTCCGAATCAGCAAAGGCCGCAGTGTTGGTGGACTCCGTTGGTGGCAAGAGGGGCGGCGTCGGCGCGTCATCGACGTCATCGGGGCTACCACCCTGCGCGTGGAACACGGGAAATCCGCATCCGCACGCACCCGCCGTGGCATTCAGCGGCGCCATCGACGCGCACTCGTGTGTTTCGTAAGGCATCCAGTGCACCAGCGTCAGCAACCGATCGCGATGACGCAGCGACGCCCGCCGCACTGCCTCACTGTCCCCTCCGCCTCTGTTCGCCGCATCGGTGTGTGCGTCCAACGCGGGCGTCGGCGTGCTGTCGCTGTCGCAAGTCGGCGCGTTGTCCTCACCGTCACACATCGTCATCGCCAACTCCCCCGCTGCTTCGTCGTTCGAGGTGCTCGAGGTGCTGCCGTCGCCGCGGCTGCTGGTGCGGACGTGGCTGGCGGCGGCGGCGGCAGCAGAAGCTGCTTCTGAAGTCCCAGGACGGAACCACGTGTAACTCGTCCGGTCCGCACCGCGGGCCCGCTGCAGCTGCTGAATGGCGTGCACGAACTTCACCGTTTCCGTGAACATCGGCGTTGGGGTGTCGCTCTCGCCGTGCGCCTGCTCCGATGCTGCTCCCCTAAAAGCGGACGGCGCCGACACTGCGGAGGGGTCGAGTGGCGGAATCGGACGCCTCTCCAGCACCGGCGCCGTCTGTGAGAGGGCAGCCTCGGATGTCGACGGCGCGCTGAGCCCGCTCGCACCGCTCTGCGAGGAACCTCGTTGATACTTCTGGAGACGGGTGCCGATGCGCTGGATCTCCGCGGAGGTCGCCGCGGCGTTGGCGGTGAGGGCGCGGGAGTCAAAGCTCATGTCAAGTAAACGAGTCGAGTAAGACTGCGCAGCATTCGACGTCGCCGACGCCGAGACGGTGGGAGTGGTGGTGGTCCGGAGACAGCGTGGCAAGGCGGCCGAGGAGGGACGGGGCGATGGCAGCGGTGGTGATGGTGCCGTCTGCGTAGGATGTGCGGCGTAAAGGAAAAGCATGAAGTGGGGGTACTGGACAGCCACAGGTGGGAGCGCTCCCCCACCGTGGCCAAAGCCGTTACTACCAGCCGCAACAGGAGAATCGATAGGGTGGAGACCCGTCCGCCCGGCAGCTTCCACCGCCGTCGCAAGCGGAGGATGGGCGGACACCTGCAGCGCGGTAGAATTCGCCAAGCCCTCTGAGGGCTGCAGCGGTGCGGGCAACGGCGGCAGTTCTCGCTGGCTACCCTCTGTCGAGTAAAGCGAGAAGGCGCTGCAGGAGCTGTTGAGCGAAGCTGGAGAGACGGCCACAGCCGCCGCCGCAGGAGCCGGCGAGCTCCTCGTCGGCGCATCGAGAAGCGCCTCGCTCAGCGAATATAAATGCGAGTTAGACGCATCCAACGATGAGGACGCAGCAGTGGGGGCGGTCGACGACTGCGAGTGGCAGCGGCGCACAAAGCGGCGTGGAGGGGGCAGCGGCTGCCCTGCTGGGACATCCCCGACAACGCGATTGAGCTCGTCGGGGCTGCGCGGCGCATCGAGACACCCTCGCCCTGTCGCAGAAGCCGCCGTGTTTGACGACGACGACGGACGACGTTGCTGATGATGCTGCGCATGATGATCGATTGTATTCATTTCATAGGAGACGAGTATCGCCGGAGAGTTAGCGAACGCAGGGACGACGACATGTTCACTGCACGGCGGTGGATTACTTGGTGGAGTGAGAGCGTTCCCATCCGCAGATTTTGACTTCAGCGCAGCGGCGCCCATCTGCGAAGAAGTAGAAAAGGAAGAGGGTAGGGTTAAGTAAAAAAAAAGAAAGGCAACAGGAACAAAAAAAGACAGTAACACAGACGAAGTAAAAAATAAAAAAAATCTGTATTACTTGGCTTAGCGGTAAACCGTCAGCCCCTAGAAAAGTCGTCACCACACAACCCGCAAACTCTGTTGTGTGGGTTTGCCAGCGTACCTGAAGAGGCAATGCAAACTTGTTGAAAGCTGAGAAAATAAACGTTGCCGCACAATTGTGGAGTGGACGAGAACGAAAAAAAGCACGAAGACACACACACAGAGAGAGAGAGAGAGGAAATGATGATGCTCGAATTGTTGGGGCTTTAAAACGAACGCGTAAAAGCGAATCGCGCCAAACGACGCAGGTAGCGCACCGATTCAAATATATAAGAACGAACGAGCCGATGAGCTCACACGCACACGTGTGCAAAACGGCAAAAAAAAAAAAAAAGGAGAGACACAACGGGGAACAGAAAAAGTTTGTGTATATCTGCCGAACGAATTTGGGAAAGGAAAAGGAAAAACAAAGAGCGCGCAATGGAAAGACAATATAAATAAAATGGGGAAAGCAAAATCCTTTTTTTGCTTTTAGAGATATATGGCTTCTTGTTTAGTTGGTGGAGATGCTGCAGAAAGCAAACGTCTCTGCGGTTTGTCCCGTTCCTCTTACCCTTTTGCTCTCAAACAACGATCGTGGATCAACCACACAAAGAAAGAGCTCAAAATCACAGAACACACACACACACACAGAGACACAAAAGGAAGGTGCACAGCTGCGAAGCACACGAGTGAGAGAAAAACAAACAAACAAAAAAAGAATTACTGTAGGTAGAAATAAAAAAAGTGCAAAGGAAAACTTGTTAATAGGGAAGACAAAAAAATGGAAAAGTCAAACTGGATGGTGTTCTCCATGTTCTAATCGAGAAAAGACTTAACGTGACAACAGAGCATCTCTAAGCGTGCGTTTCGTGGTCTTTGTTACTCGCGACCGATAAACACACACGCACGCACCCATGAAAAGTCTTTTCTCCTGCTATTATCCCTTTTTGCGCCTTGTATAATAATGTGTGAAGGGCGGAGAGAAGAATGAGCACCCCTGCAAATCAGACTTTAGAATATATAGTAATATATATTCAGTGGTGTTAGCAACTATCCCTGTCGGAAAAGATGCAAGGGCAACACGCAAACAGAAAAGCAAGCAACTAAAATCAGAAAAAAAAATTACGCCCGTCAAATTGACCTGTTTCGTATGTTTAATAGAAAGAAAAAGAAAGAGAGAGAAGAAAAAACACAAGGGCGCAACTAAGACATGAAAAACGGCCACGTGTGCACCGAGACAGGACGGGAAAGCCCTTGCCAACGGCTGCGGGTGGTGAACGGAGAGCAGCGCCACAATCACACACGACACACAAAACAAACGGAGCAAAAAGGACACACGCACGCAACAAACTTTTTTTATGAGTTATTTTTAAAGGTCAGCAGATTCGAGATGACCACAACCACACAAAGAAAGAGAAGAGTCTAACAGATATAAACAAAAAGGGCGGAGGGGAGTAATTCGCGCAGTCTAGTTCAGTGAGCACACCCGCGCAACGTACCGAGAGCCAACCGGGGCGGCGCACATATCCACGTTGATGAGTGGAAATGGAACCTTGCTTACGTGATGAGTATCGTCCTTCCTCTTTTTTTTTTCTGAGGCCGAATGTCGGTGGGAAACGGAAGTGAGATACGGAAGAGAAGAAGGGAGGGGTGGGAGAGTAAAGCAGGCCGCTCGTGCACAAGTGGTGTTTTGAGAACGGTGTGTGCACAAACGCCAATAGGGGGAAAAGGAAGAGGAAAAACCCTGTAATGAGATGGGAATGCAAACTGCCTTCTCGTTTTTACCTTGCCCCCTCAACTCAACTATTAATTTTTTTTAAGAATATCTTTCCTGTAATATAGCTCCCCACTAGGGATTAGTGCGCTGCTGAGTGAACCCTCAAGGTGCGTGAACCCGATCCACAAGTTGTGAAGGGA